ATCACACCTCGTCGCGCCTACTCGACTCCCATCTTTCAAGCGGGATGCTATAGCGCTTACCGCATTGCCATTTATCACCGAAGAAGCCGTCATCTTCAAGCCATGGTCAACTTCTGTGTCGACCTCCACGCAGCCGATGTGCCGCGCGCGAATAACAGAACAAGGGGCGCGCATCAGGAAAAAATGACCTGTCTCGGGAGTGCTCCCGAGGCTCGAGAGCAGTTCGAGCACGGCGAGACAAGTCCCCTTCTCTCGAGGCACGCGAGCTTGGCAGGGCGCCTCGCGGGCGCTCGGGAGACACAGCCGCCTGCTCGCCGAGCACTCCGGAGCAGCCTCGAGTTTCGTCTCGAGAGTGCTCGAGAGGCATCTTGGGCATGGGACGCACTCCCGATATTGCTCATATCCTGGGTCTGTTTCTCTCCGCTGCCAGATATGCATCGAAAGAAAATATATTGATCAAGTATATGTAATAATACAGTCCAGCTCTCTATATCTACAATACATGTGTCGACCCACCGTGTCTGCCAATCGACAATGGCGAGGTCATCGAGGCGGACCACGCGGTCTGCACCAAGCACCCACTCACCCAGTGGGCGCGTCACGGCGAGTGCATCAAGCTCTGCAGACGAGAGCGGAGAGGCGCGAGACGGTCAACGGTGCTTGGCAATCGGAGTGCCGAGGGAGGGGCCTTGCTACCACTGCGCTCGAGGGGGAGGAGAATGCGGTCCTGCTGGCGAACTGGGGTGCGGAGCCGAGCGTGGAGAGTTATCAGTGGGCACCGTGTGTGCGCAGCAGAAGAGAAATACTCACGATAAAATGGACAGTATAATGCGCAGGGCAAACCACAAGCACCAGCATCGAAAGACGGGGCTCCAGAAGAGCCAGGTGGAGAGGTGGAGTGACGGAGAGCTTGACGGTCTCGCAACACACATGAAAACTGTCAGGTCTGGGCCTACTGCTTATAAAAGCCTTGACGTACCATCATCCCTATCCAAACATTCCCCACCCAGTGGGCTTCGAGAGCAGTGGTACACCGCGCGCGTACGACTGTAAAGCTATTGCCAAATAGTAGATACAATGAGATCCGGCAGACGGCGCACAGATGGGAAAGGACACACCGTATTCAACGCCTCCTGCGCGGCGAAGATGAGAGACCCAGGAGGCGCGTGAGCCGCTGTGTCCTGCCCGCGCCGGGGACGATCCCGAGCCTGACCTCGGGCGGCCCGATCTTCGTCACGGCGTGTCCTGGGGCGTGGACGGATGAGCGACTGTCCGCAAGCGAAGCCTCGGGAGCACGGGCGTTCACCTGCGATGCGCAAGTCGCACGCGAGCCCGAGCTCGAGGCCGCCGCCGAGCGCGGGCCGTCGATGGTGGCGAGGGTGGGCATGGGCAGGCCTTCAAGCGTGCCGAGGGCGCGGCGGAGGTCGAGCAGGAATTGGTCCACCTACGCCTTGGACATCGACGCGCGTTCGACGAGGTCCGCGCCGACGCAGAACGCGCCGGGAGTCGACGAACGGACGACGAGGACGCGGGTGCTGGGCGCGCGCGAGGGGCACGGGGAAGGGGAAGACGCAGTTGAAAGCGATGTCTGGAGCCCACACCGGCAGGTGCACGCACCTCTTGTCAGACTGGACCAGTGATCCAAGCACTCCGGGACTCCTACGTGCGCCGCCCTCGAGGGCCGCAGGCGTGAGCGGAGAAGGGTAGTCAGACGATGCGTGTGAACTAAGATGTCAGAAGGCTCACTCACTCACAATCACAGAATGCGGGAGAGTGAGCAAACCGGGCGAGAGATGCACGCACATGGAGTCGACGAAGGAGCAAGATATGGAGACCACTGGAGACCATGGCGCGCTGGCAGAGCGCAACAGGTCCGCGCGCAGGGCGACTGGTCAGTGCGTGGGAAGTAGCTACCATTTTAACACGAGAGTATCGCGCATGATAGTCCCTGACTAGTGCGCTGTCTCGACTTTGTTTTTTTGTTTCCCTGCCTCCTCTTTTCGGGTCCTCCTACACCTCCATTTCCGCCTCGTTGAACCCCTTCCAACTGTGCGCTCACATAGACTACCGAGAAGTTGGACGGAACGGCTACCCAAGCCTCGTCGTGCAAAACACCAGGTGCGCCGTCTCGAACTTGCTTCCCTACATCCTCTTTCGCGGCCCCTCACCATTCATTCCTTCCTAGTCGAACACCTCCTGCGCGCCCATGGAGACCTCTCGCGCGAAGCCCTCTCTTAGGCCGTCGGGCCGCGCCGGAACTCAAACAAGAGGCGAACAAGAGTCTGGAGCGCGGCCGCATTCGCACATCGGAGCTCGAGGCGGAGCGCGTCCGCGTTGTCCTTCACCCCGCACGCGTGGAGAACTGTGGCAAGCATGTGCACGAACCCGACCCTTACCCCTCTCCCCGTCCTCGGGAGCCTCGCGCAGCCGGTGGAGGTGCGTTCGGACCGTCAGCACCCGGCGACCACCTGAGGTTCGGCACACGCATTCAGCAATGGGTGGTGGAGAGGAGACTCGGACCGAAGGGCAAGGACACAAGGTAACGTGCATACCTTGCGTTCTTATACTTGTGTAGACCGCGAGGCTCCTTTCAACCACGCCACCCCGGCACATCGAGCACAGGCTGTGGGCATAGATGCCCTAGAATGTGACTTCAACCACCGCGTCGCACGCGCCAGACCATCCACGACGCTTCGGCCTAGCCCTCACGCGGACAGGGCCAGCTTCGCTCCTCCCTCTCACCGTCCGCACGCGGCACAGGTGAGGAAGACCTGGGCGGCGCGGAGCTCTGTGGGGGAGTTTCGAGCAACACAGCGGTCCGCCGGTGCTCCTCGCGCGCGGCGGCAAGCTCCCACTGGTGTGCCTTCGCGCTACGCAAGTTACGCCGAATGTATGTACAATGTACCGAGTTCTTCTGTTAATGTTATATAAGTGGTGCAGCCAATGACTGCATGTTCTACACAATTTTTACTGAATTCCTGAGGTATCCCGTCCGCTGAGGGCGTCTCGACTGTCCTCTCGTGGCGTCACTCAGACACGCGAGAGCTCGGTAGGAGCCGGCCGTGACTCTCAAGGTGTAGTGAGCAGCCGCTGCAACTCTGGAGTGCTCGCGAGCTCACCGCGGTGCTCGCCGCTGCTCGGGCGACCTCGATATCATCAGTCATTACGCTCGAGAGCTCGAGCGCTCTCCCGGCCATCACTGGCAACAAGCGTGCGATCCCGAGTTCGGGCCGGGGCTCTCGCGCGGTGCGCTTTTTCCTGATGCGGCCGCAACTGTAGGAACCATCACTGCCGTTCGACGTTGGGAGAAAGACATGGAGCGGAGCGACAGGGAACGCGACTACCATTGTCGCGAGACAAGTGGGACCAGTAGAGTCGTAAGTACCGCAACACGACTGACCTAGGCGACCTCGCGAAGCGGAGAAGGGGCGGAGAACGCACGGTGAGAGATCTCGCGTGCCGGTATCACCAATGCACACTACGCCGGGAGGCGCGACTGGCCTTGAAAGTAGCACAGAGTACAGATCGGCGGTCATAGCTCGTCCAAGAAGAACACTCACTACCGCGGCGGGCATAGTGACATCACGGCGTCGATAGCGACTGCCAGGGCTTCTCTATCGGCATTGAGGTAAGTCCCCCTTCACACCCCAAAGCTGCCTTGAGGCTTACACGTTCTGTTATCGCCCAACAACCAGTGCATACTTGATGAACTCGCGTCCGCGAAGGCTCTCCAGCCCACGGTGCCGTGTGCAAGGCCTTGCCGGTGACGCACGCAAGCCCCCCGACGGCCGCAATCGTAGCACTTGGATGCCCGGTGAACCCCGCGCCACTTGGTAAGAGCCCAGCAGGGACAGCGTTCACGCTCGGTCCAGACTAGCGGGCAGGAGGCGGACGACGAGCACGTAGCTCGGACGGCGAGGCTCTATCAGTGGCTACAGAGTCGCGCACGTCCCCCGGCCGTTGCGCCGCTGTAGTGAGTGTCATGCAACGTATTCATGCGCGCCCTCACAAGTTTCGCCGGTCCCGCGACTAGTACCTTGGCACTTGTCAAGGACAACCCTTTTTTTCTCGCCAGCGCGCGAGAGATGTACCCGAGGCATCACATGTACACTTCGGCCTCGTGCCTTGGTCGCCATCGGTGTCGAGAACGCGTACGACATCCCGAGGCAGCGGCGCGGGTGCAGTGAGTCCTCTCGGCTTCTGTCTGGTAACACGTCAACGAGCTTATGCCCATCTGCGTGATATTAGACAGCATCGTGGTCCACGACTTCGAGTGTGGTCCACAATGACGCCGTTCTGCATGCTCGGCGGTGGCCGTCTCGTAGCGATGCGCCACGCCCATTGCGGCGTGAAAGGTGTGTCACCTCTCCTCCCTGCACCTCGCGCGTATCTTGTACAGATAGGACGGCTGCGCATCGAGGAGCGGCGCATATGGTCATGATCTCCGTAGTGTACCAATGTGTTACATAGGACAAAATGCACTCATTCTGGCCTGTCATGTCGCGTGCAATGCGTGAAATGAAGCATCCTCAGGGTCAATAATCGCAGCTTCTCGCACTAATATATAAATGCTCGCTTAGGCGCGGGGGACTTACCAAACCAGACTAAATCAGACTCGTACTTACGCTAATGCTGCTGCTTATAATTAGCGATCACGACTCGCCGCGCTCCCCTCCCTCTCTGCGGCGTTTTACGATATCCCCCCCCCCCACTGTCGCCTCTCTCTCGTCTTACCTCTTCGCCCTCGTGTTCGCCGACGCTGTGTAACTCGCCAACGCGTCTCAAGAGACAGAAGAGGCCGCCGCGCGCATGCGGGCGCTTCTCGACAAACACTGGCAGCGCGGGGCTACAGTCAAACAGCTTAGAGAAGGAGGCGGTTCCACACATTAATGGGAACGGCCACATGACGAAAGGCCACTCTGTCCCAAGGGAGACGGTGGTCGTGACGGGGACGGCCGGACACCTCTGCCCTCGGCTCGCACCTCCTCGCGCAGCTCCTTATGTGCCAGCTGGATGTCGCGTGCGTGTTCGCCCTCATTCGCAATCACGGAGAGTCCGACTCGGACGAGAAGCTTATGGCGCGCTCTGCAGAGGTGTTTAGAGTGCCGGGTTTGGACGAAACCTTGCTGCGATCTGGCAAGGTAGTCCTTCGTATCGTTGACCTCACGAAGAAAAGGCGGCCATTTGGCCTGACTCTGGAGGAGTATGATGAAGTAGGTCGTACCTTCAGCTGCTGCAAGAGTGCTAACTGAAACGGATCCAGATCAGGATGAGCGCTACCCAGATCATCCACAATGGGTGGACCGTGAACTTCAACGTCTCTCTATCGTCTTTCGAGCCTCTCATTGTCGAAGCGCGCAGACTCATTGACTTCGCTCTTGGCTCGACGCGTTCACACAAGCCACGCGTGGTATTCGTGAGCAGCGCAGGAGTCCTGCATCCAATATGTCCCCGAAGGGTACATATTATCTAAGTCGGCATATTGGCACACAGACCACAGCTCCGCCGTTCCTGCGGCCGAGCTCATCGAAACTCCTCCCGAACTCGCCGTTGGCGCTGGGTACTCCGAGAGCAAGTGGGTCGCGGAGCAGCTCCTCTGGCACGCCTCGCAGCAAACCGGCCTCTCCACCACGTCGGTGCGCGTCGGCCAGGTCAGCGGCGACCAGCGCGCGGGTGGACGGTGACCGAGTGGGTCCCCGCGCTCGTGCGCATCAGCCAGAAGCTTGGCTGTATACAGCCCTCCCGCGACGAGGTCCGTGCGCCCGTCTCCCAGCCTCTCCGCCCTCCCCCACCCGAGCTCACACCGGTCTCTCGCAGAACCTGACCTGGGTCCCCGTCGACGTCGCCGCGGCCGCGCTCCTCGAGATGACGCGGGCCCAGCGCCCGTCTTGCACCTCCGCTCCCCGCGCCCAGTGCCCTGGGATACCGTCTTCGCGCCGATGGCGGCGCGGCTCCGCGTGCCGCTCGTGCCGTACGCGGAGTGGCGCGCGCGCGTCGAGGCGGACGCGGCCGCGGGCGATGGGAGCGGGCACGACGCCGCGCAGTCTGCTCGCGTTCCTCGAGAGCGCGCGGATGGGCGGGGCGGAGGGCGCGCTCGACGTCTCGGGAGCGGTGGGGTGCTTGAAGGCGCTCGCGGACGTCGCGCCGCTGTCGGAGGAGGACGCGGAGAGGTACTTGGGGTTCTGGGACAAGGTGGAGTTCGTCAGATTGCCCGAGTGAGGGGTGCGGCGCTCGGTGAGGTGGGTTGTAGTGCAGGGATCGTTACAGTGAGAAGGTGATTGTCGATCGCACGGAGAAACGCGCATGTTGTTTGCGCCCCACCCTCCCTTTACTGTGTGATTCCGACACGGATTCGTTCCCCTCCCTCCTCGTCTCCGGAGGCGAGAGTCCAACCCTCCCTCATGGCGGCGCGCCGGCACCGCGCTCTGGATCCAGCCGCGCGCGGCGCACGCGATGCACCTCACCGTGCTCGACGTACATGCGTCCGACGTGAGCGCGGGAAAACGAGCGCGGACGCTGTTCGTGCAGCGGCGGGAGGGCGCGCACTGGACCGCGTTCGACTACGACGAGGCAGGGCGGGTCGCGCTGGAATCGAACGACGGGACGGTGACCACTGACGGTGCTGGACTTGGCGTAGGTATGCGCGGCGCCGCGCGCGGGCGCGGTTACTGATGCAGGGAGACCGATGATTAAATTATGCGAAATGTAGCAACAAAGAGGGTGTAGATATGATAGCAAAGTCCGTGCAGAGACGCTCCCGAGTAAGTATACAACACACCGCTCCGACCCGCACGCCGCTCACCGTTCAGTCGCTGTACTTGAGGCTGCCGCGCTCGTAGTCGGGCTCGCCGGCGGCCTCCTTGAAGCGCACGGGCTGGTACCGCGCCTCCCGGCGGCCCTTCGCGGAGCGCACGCACATCGTGACCGTGACCCCGAGGAGAACGAGGCCGATGAGGAGGTTCGCGCCGAGGAGCACGAGCGCGATCATGCCGTACTTCTTGCTCCAGCTGTCGTCGCTCGAACCCGATGGGTCGCTGTTGGCCGCGGCGGCGCCGGCGACGGTGTTGGCGCTGGTGCCGTTTGACTGCGAGGACGTGTCCGTGGCGTATTTGAGGAGTACCGCGGGGTCGATGGCTGCCGGGAGCTCCGCGAGCGCCGCGGCGCGCTCCGTGTGGAACTCGTCCCACATGGAGGAAGTGTTGGTGGTGGAGAGGAGCTGGACGAAGGGCGAGGAGACAGTGTTGTTGCCGGGGTAGAAGTCGGAGTAGTCGAAGGAGGCGTAGACGTTGCGGAGGAAGGCGTCGCCGAGGATAATGTCGAAGCCCACGAAGTTGTTCGGGTCGAGCGTGAGGTACTGGTAGGTGTTGAGGCAAACCGTCGCGTTCATGCCGTTCGTGTTGAAAACGTAGGGGAAAGTAAGGTCGAGCGGGTGAATAGGGAACTCTTGGTCGCTGCGAACGAACGGGTGGTGAGTATCAATGAGATCTGCACGGGCGATGTTTGCTTACCCGAAGACGAAGGTGAGATTGGTGGCCGCATCACAAGGGACCATCCACACGTTTTCGCCGCCACCGATGAACACCGCCCCTGGGATCGTGGAGTCACAGATGGCGTCCACGGCGGGTCCTGGGAGAGGCGGAAACGAGAAGCCAGTGTCAAGGGTGGCCGCGATCTTCCCGTTGGGAACACCCTCGATGCGTGACTGGTTAAACGCGAACGGGATGCCGTTAACGAGCATTGCGTCCATGGCGATACTCCAATGATCAGTGTTCACGGTCGGCAGCTTCGGTGCGAGGGCGACGGGCTGGAAGTTTTTGTCGTGTTCAGAGATGATAAACACGCCGTCGGCTTCGTCCTCGAGGGTGCTGGAGCGCGCGAGCTGGACGTCGAAGTTGTTTGGCGCGGTGGGGTTGTCGGCGAAAAGGGAGGTGATGGGCGCCGTAGCGAGCTGGTTTGCAGCCTCGGGTCCCCATGCACGTGACACAGTGTTGTGGATCGACGCGGAATCGAACGCCATACCCATGATACCGTCGAATCCTATCAATGAGAAGTCGTGGAGCTCCGTAGGGTCGACAAAGGCTTGCGACGGGCGGGTTGAGCAAGTATGCGCTAGAGATATGTATCGCGATGCTCACCTTGGCCGGGAATCTTGAAGTCTCCGAGGGTCATGTCGGCGAATGCGACATAGCCCGAGAGAGAACCCTTTCCATAACCAATGTCAACCTTGAGATCGGTCGTGTTCGTGAGTTGGAGATCGCGTCCAGTGGTGTTCACCCATAGATCAGACGACCCGGTGTCCAGTAACACGACGAAGTCTTCGGAGGAAAACGATTAGATATGTACCAACACCACTGATGTTTTTGGCCCCCACCAACTCCACCCAGAGTGATGTTGACGGTATAAGCGAGGTTGTCGCCAGTCGAAATAACGTTGCCACTGCCTTCGGACTCGTTCGCAGCCGCATATCTCACACCCGAGCCATATGTGGACACCCGGAAGTGGGAGGCGTGTGAGGAGTCGCCAGCAAGAGCGGCGCTCGCCGAGATTGAAAGAGGAAGAAGAAACTGGGCAAGCTGCAGAAGTGAAGTAGGCAACATGGCGAAAGAAAGGGAGGGAGATGAGAGACGGCGGGTTCGCGGGTCGCCGCCTGTGCATGTCTTATAAGATTTTCGTGCCAAGCGAGTCTTGGGTGCTGCCGGACGGCGCCCGTTGCGCTGCTTTGAGATCTGAGTCCTCGTGGTGGTGGCGATGATGGAACGACGTGTCTCCGACTCCCATGCAGCGCCCCCGCAAAGTAGTCTCGTTCCTTGCTCTCGGCTCCAGCCGTTCACAGGCTATCGCTGAAACCATGACCATGCAGACGCAGCGAGCCTCAGTACACATTGCTGTGTGACATACCGGGGCGCTATGTTCCTGGAGGGGCTGGACACGACGATCGCATCTGCGATCAGAAAAGCTGCAGCGACCGTGCAATTGCGGAGGCAAACAGGACCGTCTGTTGCGACTGCGACAAAGCGGGGAAGAGTCGGACATTCAATTGTCGAAGACTGGAATCATTCCGTGGTTTTCGCACGACTGTTTTGGGCGGCTGATGGGGGTGGTCCCTCGCGCGGCAATCACCGCACGACCGCCGTAAAACGTCGCCTTGCAACAGCAAACTGCAGTGGCCCTTCAATGTTCATCGCCTCCTGCGTAGCATCTGTCGCTCCTCACTCCAACCAGCTCGCCCCACCCCGTGCAAGTCCCTGACGGAGCCGCCTGTGAGTGAACACCGCCAACAACTCACGCCGCCGCCCTTTGGGACGTCAAGTATGTTTTTGAGCCGAACTCGTGCACTTAGAGAAGGATCGCTTATGACGTCTTAGCACACGTTTGGGGCCCTCGTGAGCAGTCCTTTCAGGAAGTCCAAACCATACAGCGCTGACATACGTCTCCAAAACACCCTCGCGATTCGTGGGCGATAAGATTTGTCGCTTCTGCCTCTCCGCCGAGCCCGCCGGATCGACGCCTGTGCTGCCTAGCCACGCCGAGCTCTTCTGCCCCTAGTCTTCGCCAACGTCTCGGACAACGAAGCCCAAGGCCAGAGCGCGTGGTATACCTGTGGCTGGACACTCCAAGAACTCATCGCCCCGCCCGAAGTCGACCTCCTGTGCAGCAGGTGCACATCGCTAGACCTCCTCTGGCAAGTCACCCGAATCGACATCGATGTTCTCGTGTCCGTGGGCAAGCCGTCGCCTCGTGGGCGTCGAGTATGCAGACGAGGCGTGTCGAAGACGAGGCGTGTTCGTTCAAGGGCATCTCCGGCATCAATACCCCAGTCACGTACGGCGAGGGCCGCCGCGCGTCCCGGACGAGACCATGAGGCACTGGCCAGACCACTCGCCCTTTGCCCAGGGACGCGCGCCACGCGCGCCCGCCAAGGTCCTGCGGCTACCCCCTCGTTTCCTGCCCGCGCGAGTCCGTGCAGTCTTCGGAGATCCTGCCCATGTTGGTTCCTCAGTTTGGTGTCGCCGACGAGATCAGTCTCTTGGTTCACAATCGGACTCTGCCCCCGAGGTACGTCGCCGTTCAAGCGTACCACGTCTCTCGGTTCTCTCAACACAAACCTAGATCCACCTTACTAAATCCGGTGAGAGCCCGACATCCGGGTCAGATTGCGGTCACCATTCTACCTTGTCAAGACGCGGGCGCGGTCGGCCTCCTCTGTATCAACAACACAACAAGGGTGGCATTCCACCAGTGCACCGTCCCCACCGTGCATCCATCAGCCCTATCCACTGTATAATCCAGCCCGCTACGTTGCTGTCCTCCTCGAAGAGCCTTTGGAGGCGCCTTCACATGACGCGCCCCGACGGTTCCCCTTCAGCCGGCAAGAGATCTTCATCCTCTATCATCCCACATAGATCGGTTTCGCCGATCTCGCAGAACCCTGGGCGTCGTTCGTCCACGTTCCTTAAACTCTCCACCCGGCTTCCTTTACCACCCTGGATGCTGCTTCGTCTGAACCTATCGGCCGCGCTGCATATCGGATGCGCCCCGACCGCCCGCCCTCTGCCCGCCCTCTGCCCCCGATCCTGCCCAGAAAGCCCGACCATTGCCTTGTGCACGGGATCCCGACACCATCCTTTACCCACTCCAGATGCCTCCGCGCCCGGTCATCGCACCTGACGCTCGGATCCTCTTGGACTCGTGACGTCGCCCGCATCTGAACGCGCGCATCCCCGTGCTCGACGCGAAAAGCCAGTCGGAGCTTGTTGTCCCGCTGCCCGTAGCGCGGTGCGCGTCACCACAGCGTCGTTGGACCACCCACGCTGTCGCCGCCGGCAGCGCTGGAGGCATTGGAGCTGGTGGCGATGGTGCTCCATCGAGGTCTCGAGGGTGGCAGTGGGCGCTGGAGGACTGAACATAGGAGCTTCGACGATCACGCGGTGGAGAACACCGGGCCCCGCGCAGTCCAGCTTGCAGGCCAAGCATGCGATACGTCAGCTCGCAATGCCGGCGGCCAGGACGATTGCAACGACGCCACACGGGACTGGAAGGGGCCGCGCGATCGTCGTCGTCTTCCGAGGCAAAGGGACCACGTAGTTCTTGCTTGGCGGTTGGTTGGATGAACGCGGCGGAGTGTCTTTTCGCGGCCTTCTCCGTGTTGCCCTATGGACTGACGCTGACATGCTTTCTCCAACAGGAATTCGGTTGCTACGGAACGCCCGAGTCGAGAACCACTCCAGGCCCGATATTCACTCGGGGCGCGCCGACCATCACAATGACGACTTCAACTGAGCGCCCTTTTTAGTTCGAGTCCCCTCGCTACGTCAATGAAACCCGGTACCGAAGATGTTTTGCCATTTCGATCGATCAAAAGCTTTTCTGTACGCCCAAAGTAGTGTTCGCTCAATTCGATCCACAGCTATTGCGCCGCCTTCGGAGCCTGTGTCCGCCCATCGGCGTGCACAGACGTCTGTTCTTCCATCTGCCATCTGTTGTCCTTTCAGACGCCTTCGCGTATCGTTCGCCTGATATGTCGTCACTGGTTTCACCTTTCTTCGCATCATACGCCGTCACTCTTTTCACCCGTATGGTTTCTTATAACGCATTCCCAGAAGCCTGAAAAGCTCTCGTGGAGCCCTCGCAGTGGCGCAAGGGCACCTGGCAACTCCACAAGCGCTCAGGGTGTGCATCGGAGGCGCTTCAAACAGCACCATGTACGCTCGGCGCTGTCGTCGATCATGGGGCCATGGCTCGACCTCGCAGAGATGGGATGGTGCGTTCTCAGGCATGAGCGTCGAATATGCTACATATACCGCCTGCGAACGACGGACGAAACTCGTCCTCTCCTCGAGGTTCAGCCTCCTCTATATTCTCACCTCCGCCCTCACCACCTCCCGGCCTCTTCACCTCCGCGACTATCTTCCACTATAAGCGCTAGTCCTCAACGTACTGCACTTGGTCGCAGACACGATATCACCGCCATGTCTACCAACGTGACGGCACCGCCGCTCGACGTCCCTGCGAGGTGTGTCTCGCTGGTGCCAGATGACGTTCGGGCTCACGAAGGTTCTTCTGTAGCTTCGGCCCGTTCTTCATTGCCGTCATCCTCGACGTTTTCCTCTACGGCATCGTCTCCACTCAAGCGTTCCTGTATTTCACCTCCTACAAAAAGTAAGCACCCTCGCTCGAACGTGTACACATGTATGCCTACACGCTTGAACTTCGTAGCGACCCGCAGTGGATGAAGGTCCTCGTCGGCATAGTGGTCATCAGTGACACCCTGAACTCTTGCTTCGACGTCATATCCGTGTACCAGCCGCTCGTCTTGCACTTCGGTGACTACCAGGCGGTGCTGGTGACACAGTGGGGTGCGTCGAGCCTCACTTCTTCGGTCCCGATGGCATCAGCGCTGACCCACCAGCAGAGTTCCACAGCGACCCTGCCATCACGGCCATCGTCGCCTTCCTCGTGCAGTCTTTCTTTGCGTGGCGCGTCAAGGTCCTCACGAAGAACAAGTGGATCGTCGGCTTCATCTACACCTGCGCGTTCATCTCCCTCTGTGCGTGCCATGATCTCTCCTTCGTACCCATGCTCACCCCGATGTACTTCAGTGGGAGGCATCGGAACGTCGATTGCTGTCACCAAAGTTCCTTACATCCCCGACTTCCCCAAGTTCCAGTCCATCGTCAACGTCTGGCTTCCGTCTGCCGTTGTTGCAGACATCACGATTACGGCCACCCTCGTGCTCCACCTCCGCAAGAGAAAGACCGGGATGAAGTTCACCGACACACTCATCAACAAGATCACCCGCTGTACGTCGCACTCCAGCTCCGGCCCCTCACGCGCTCACTGATCCTCTGCCGCACACCAGTGACGATCGAAACCGGTCTGCTCACCGCCCTGTGGGCGCTGACAGATCTAATCGTCTACCTCGTCGTCCCGACCGCGCTCCACCTCGTCTTCAACTTCACGCTCTCGAAGCTCTACTCGATCTCCCTCCTCACCTCGCTCATCACCCGCCACGGCGCGATGGACGGCAGCACGGGCGACGACTCGCACGACGGCGCGCGCGCGAACCCGATGCCCGGGCGCGTGAACATGCTCCGCTCGAACGCGAGCGCACACGTACGTCCCCTCAAGGTCTCGGCCTCCTCCCCTTACGTCGGGCCGCTGACGCGCGCGCGTCGCTGCAGCAGCCGCAGCAGATCTTCATCGACGTCGAGGCGCACGAGATGGTCGAGGTCGACGACATCAAGGGCCCGCAGTTCCTCGAGTCGGGGAAGAAGAGCGCGAACTCCGCCGCGTTGCACGCTTCGCGAAACACACGCACGTCGACGACCGATCACTCGATGGTCTGAGCGCGATCTCGGTCTCGGTCTACGGGCCCGGGCGCGCGCGCGCGCTGCTCGCCTTATTTACCAGGCCTCGTGGATCCGGAGGTGGAAGGTTCGGGTTTGGCTCTGACTTATAATTGATGACTAATGTAAATGTAAGGACTCGATCGCTCATCACGTCCAATATCATACCAGGATATTGTTTATTCCCCTCCCTTCATCCTCTGCGTGATCCCGACACCGTGGATTTTGGCCCCCTTCTTCTACGGCTTGCGACGTTGCTTCGCGCGATGTGCTCGGCGCCGCCTCAGGGTCAGAATCATGATGTATCGGATCTTGTATCATCTACAGCTCCCCAGTCTTCGTCCACGCCTGCCTCGTCACTCTCATGCACGGCACCGTAGTCAAAAAGTACAACCGAGGACGCCGAAGTCTTGCCGCCCATACGTCTTCGGAGTCTGTCTCTTTCTCTGCCACAATAACAGTGCCAAAAAGCGGTTTATCAATTACGATAGCATGCATGAGCATGATGGAAGGGAACAAGTTCGGCAAGCGCTGAGATCCTCGATCTTATCTGCACAGGAGATTAGATACGGAAGATGATGATAAGATTTAGATGACGCGAATGGGTACATGATGCCGCCGACACCGGTACCACTCCTGCGATCCCTTCTACCAAGCTTGCCTTACAATCCCCGTGTATCGCCTCTCACCGTTCTCGAGCAGAATCTAGTTTTCAAATTTGGCCAGCTCCCAGGGCGGACCAGGCCGCTCCGTGCCGTCGACGGTCACCGTAGCGAGGCGGGGGAAGCTTCGCAGGATATCCGCCCAGGAAGGTCCGTCGAAGGACCAACGACGGCCGGTGACGTCCAGAGAGGTGACAGCGGGAAGGTGCACGAAAAACCGGAGGAAGGCGGTGTGCAACCTCGCCGCTTGGCGGAAGTGGGACAGCGCGACCTTGAAGGTGATCTTGAACTCGCGCTCGCCGTCCGCAGTGCGCCCGGCCACGCTGCAGAAGCGCTCAGGGTGGTGGCGCGGCCAGCCCCTGTTGAAGACCAGGTGGAGGTCGGTGACGGCGGAGAGGAAGGGGATGTATTTCAAGAGCGTGGAGCCCGCGGAGTTGAAGACAGGGAATTCGAGGTTGGTGTCGTCGAGGTCGAAGGCTTGGACTTTGACCGTCCGGACGCGCGGGAGCCGGAGGTGGTCGAGGAGCGCGGCGGCCTCGTTCGCTTCCTGCCGCTCGAGATCGATGGTGTGCAGGTGCTCCAGCGTGACGCTATCCGAGTCGCTGGCGGATATGTCCTTGAAGCGGCTGTTGAAGTGGAACGCCTCGAGGGCGGGAATGCGACGGAGGATACGTAAGACGTGCTTCATGTGAATGTCGCACCCAGATCCAATCGTTAGTGTCTTCAGCTGCGCGAGACAGGCGGCCTGGGGTGCTAACCAGGACAGGTTCAGAGAGAGCATCGAGAGATTAGGGTGGTGGTCTGCGTCGAGAGAGAGGGAAGCGCGGCTCATTTTACGATATTCCCATCTCGTCGAGCGCAGATAGAGGGTGGTCAACTGTGGGAATGTGATGGCGTTCAGGAAGAGGTTGTTCAGAGGTGCGGTGTGCGATGTGTCGATGAAGGCGACCAACGCGAAAGAGCGGAGGCGCATGGCGTGCGGAAGGAGCGTGGTGAGCAGAGACGCAAAGCTTGGGTACAGGGCTTGAGACCGCTCTGGAATGTGAGGGATCACGATGGCGACCTCGATGGGAGTGCCGCCGGAACGCTTCAGGCATCGGGTCCACCACTCTTGCGCGTGGCGTCCGTGGGCGACGATCGTGGTTCAGAAACACTTGTTGGAGATGATGGTGTTGTTCCAGTGCCGACAGAGTGTGAGCAGAGGAAGCCAGCGAAATTCATCCCGCTCGTCGTTCGAGACGATTCGGCTGAATCCATGTTGAGGAACGATAATGTGTCGTAGGATTTCAACCAAGATCTCTTGCGGGACTCGATGGAGGAAAGGGGTGCTGGTGGGGGTGCGTTCAGCCACTGTGCCGCGCATGATGAAGGTGATGGGGAAAGCAGAGCTATGTGCTCCTCGGTGTGGCCCAGTTCGAATTCGACCAGTCACGTGGGCGTGTTTAGAATCAAGCGTCAGATAAGATAAGATTGAAATCAACGCTTGCGGCGCTTACATGAGTGCGATCACCTACCCTAGTAGCCCCTCGACCGATCTCTCTCTCTCTCTACGTCTCGCCCTCGTCGTCCTCCATCTCCGTGTCCTCCTCCTCCGTATGTATCGTCCTGATCGACACCTCGGGGACGTGCTCCGCGAGCATAGCCGCGTGATCCTCCCGATACACCGTCTCGAACTCGTCCAGCTCCTTCGTCCGCGGTGCCGCGACATACTCGAACCTGGCGAGAGGCACACCGCGCGCCGCCCGCCCAGCCAGCATCTCCCGGCACGCCTCCACGCAGAGCTCGATGCGGGGCAGCCGCTCGGTGGCAAACCTGAAGTCGTATTCGTCGTCCTCGTCATCGTCGTCCTCCTCCCACGGGTTCCAGGTGACGGTGTAGTCGCGCAGCGCGATGGTGCGCAGCGCGGGGCACAGGACCGCGTCGCGCGCGCCGTGGGCCGACCCGCCCCCGTCGCCGTTCGGGTCGAGCGCGGACCACAGCGACGCGAGCGAGCCGTGCCCCTCGAAGCGGAGCTCGGTGAGGAGCGGGAAGTGGCCAAGGAGCGCGCGCCAGACGTCGGCGGGGCACGTGAAGTCGCGGCGCGCGGCGGAGATATCGAGGCGCGTCGCGGCGGGGCAGTCGCGCGCGACGTCGATGAGGTCGCGGAGCTGGAACCCCGGGTCGATCGGCACCTCGTGGAGCGTCCCGGTGGTGTCGGGCATGTACCCGACGCTGGCGCAGTGCGGGCCGCCGGCCGTCCTCACCGCGAACTCGCAGCGCTCGCGTTCGAAGGCGAGGGCGACGTCCGTGACCAGCGGCAGGAACGGGAGCACGTTGGTGCGGGGGCGGGGAAGGACGTCGCCGATGCCTGCGTTCCGGCCGGTGTCCTCCTCGTGGCCTTGGGCGTCGATCCTGCCGTCGGTAATGTAGTTGAGTATCACCTGCGTCGCGCAAGGAAGGTGCAGATGTGATAGGATTGTGGTGAGATCAAGGGTGTTCGAGCCGGGGATCTCGAGACAGGTGAGTGACGGCAAAGTGATAGGATGCGAGGGAGGTTGGACGAGGTCAGCAGCGCCGAAGCGTGCGACGTAGAGGGACTTGAGGCGCTTCATGGCGGGTAGGGTCTCCATGAAATTCGCAGAAGAGCCCGTTTCCCAGCAGAGAAAAAGCCAGAGTTTTTCCAGGTGTTCGAGGACGGATGGATCCGCGACGTACGCCAGGTTGTACAATTGCAGTGTCTTCAGGCGCGGCATGGCTGTCCTATTGAGGGCCAGGTGAACGACATCCGGGACCTCCCCCGGGGCCAAGACCGGGATGTTCTCCCGATCCCTCCGTGCGCTGAGGTCTTCCAAAGCGGAAAAAGTGCCGGAAGCGAGGAACGTGTTCACTGCTGGGAGGCGTTTCTTCAGCAAAGAGCTCAATGCCAATGATCTGATGTCGGAGGCGTAGTGGAGCAGCAGCGTAAGATCCAGTTGAGCAATGTTCGCGAAGTCGATGTTGATCTCGAGGGAAGCACCATGGGCCCGATCCAGGCACAGCTTGAGCCACTTCTCTCCGTTTTCTCCGTGTACGTAGATTGTGCTCCAGAACGACTTCGTGCTCAGGACGACGTCCCTCCACCCTCGGGATACGAGGAGCAGACGAAGCCACCCTGTAGGGTTGTGGGGGCCGTCCGATTGTGAGGTAGGATGGACGACATGTTGTAAGATGTTGGTAAAGGTTTCAATGGGACAGCGGTCGACAGGATCCATGGCGTTGTCAGTGACGAGTTCTATCTGGAGGCGACGTGCAACTTCGCTTCAGCGAGCGAAGACAAGACGAGCGACAACGACGTTCGTGATAGAAACCTCACCGGAACGTGGCTCGCTGGAGTTTGAACGGTTTGAGGAGAGCACTGTGGAAGAGCGTAGTCTCGGGTGGACGCTTTTGAACGATCTTTCATTCGCATGTTCGCATGGTGCCCGCGACCCTCCGGACGCGTCCACCAGCATAAGCGGGCCAAGCCCTGACCAAGACCTTGCCAAGGGTGTGGCGGCACGCCAAGATAAGATTTTGCCCATAAGCGTTGAGGCCCGATGTCGCGGGACAGGCGCTAAGTTCTTAGTCCTCCGGTCTGACTATATACAGCCGTTTGCATACGAACGCGGAATCGTGATTTCTCAATTTTCGGGAGACGCCCAGGCACCATACGCAGATGTGACTCGTGCGTCACGTCCCAGGATGATGATCCCACGCGCGTGCACGTCGAGTACTGTCCTCTGCGATGCGGCTCGCGCGCGTGTGCGCGACGACCGTCTAAACTCTACTCACGCTCTCAGAGGCTTCAAACCGCTCGCGCAAACCTGGCACGCCTCTACGCATTCACCATCAGCGGCAATGCCCCCATCCTCATTGACGCAGGGGACTTTCGGCAGCTCCGCGATGCCCTGCGCAAGGTGGGTAAGTATCGCGCGCGGACGGCCGCGTCGCAAGAACATCTGGCACCAGCCCACCGCCAACGCAAATATCCTCCCCGACCATGCAGGACTCCCGAAGCCATACCCCGCCCACCGTTGTGGACCTGGACCCCGCCCCCGATGGGCACACCTCTGAGGGCTTTGTGTATATAGGCACCCAGGGTGGTGTGCGTTCTACTATCCCCACACTCACGCAACTGCGCGCGAGAGCCTGGCCGGGAGCGCGCAGACGCCCCCGGTGCTGCCTTCGCCGCAGACCTTCCGGTGGGCGTACACGGTGGCGTCGGTGGGAGGGCCGTGGATCAACTTCAGGGCATTCACGGCAGCGGTGAAGGCGCAGCGTGCTGAGCGTCGGCGAAGTGGGTCGGAAGAGGCCAAAGCCGTTCCCGAACGGTGGTCGTACGCGAGGTCACCGAGTCTCGAGAAGAAGTTGCAGTCGTGCGGCCAGTGGGCAGGTGTCAGAGGCGCATATGCATTATAGCCAGGGCCTCGTCATCGTCGTTTTATGGTGCAATGATACACATACAGTCCAACCACCAAGCTGCTTCCCCAGCGCAACGTCCAAGCTCTGGTCCCACTCCTGGTCTCTGTTCCCGTTCTCGTGCACAAGCATGCACTCGAACACCTTCGAATTCTGGTTCATAAATAACCGCGCGCACGCACATCGCCGCCTTCCGGAACTTGCACGAGAGCCCCTTCTAGTTGGAGGCGAGGCGGGCTTCGCCGCGGGCCCGTTGGCGTCGTCATTCTCCTGTTGGGCATACCAGCGCCGATGCTCCTCCCCGAACTTCGCAGCCGCGAGTCCCAGGTGCGGGAGGAACGGGAGCAGGCCGCCGTTCGAGCCACCGTTCGAATGTGCAGACATTGATGCGCACTCGACTCACGCCTTTTTGCGCGACACAGTGAGCACGCGACACGCCTGGCACCGGAGGGCAGGTCGATCGCGAGCGGGTAAGGGGTAGTGAAGCCAGACCGGAGGCGGCAGAGCGCGGTGGGCCAGAAGTGTCTATGGGCGAAGCTGCGGAGAAGCTTGTGGAGTTTGCGCTGCAGCGGAGGCCGTCAAGTTGGAGGTTCAAAATGCACACGCGCGAGTACTATAGTTGCATCGCGCGGAGGACTCGACGCGCATGCGCGAGGCGTGACGCGCGAGTCACATCTGCGCATGGTGCCTGGGCGTCTCCCGAAAATTGCGAAATCACGATTCCGCGTTCGTATGCAAACGGCTGTACCATGTCACACTACGCGGCTACGGCGTCTTCTGGGTCCTCCAGAACTGACTACTGCATCGCATTATCCGCCTTAGAGATCAAGGACACAGATGCGGTCTTCGACGCACCGGACTTAATGAGCCAGCCCGCCTACTTACCCACTACCATCTCCGAGGATAACAATGCCGCTCTGCTGTGGAGCGCGCTCACGGACGACCTCCAGGATGAAAGGTGGCACCATGACGGTGGTCACCTTGTTCAGCTTGAGCGTGCGCAGTGAGGGAGCAGCAAGCTTCGCGGCCACGCGGAGCGCCCACGGTGCGGTGTATACTTACGTTCAAGGCGGAGCGGAAGTGGCCGGTGTGCTCCGGTGTGGAACGGGTCGGCACACGTGGTTAAGGGACCGTTAGGGGCTATTGGTAGGCCGTCGAAGAGCTGGAGACAGTATCGGGTCGAGCCTCCATTACCTGCCGTGTCCGTGCGTGAACGACGATCGGAGTCCAGAATTGCTTGTTTGAGACAACAGTCACATTCCAACAGCAGTGACTAGCCAGTCATAGGCCCCGCCCGTTTCGTAAGAGGCAGGTCGGGAACAGGGATGGAGTGGGAACATAGACAACAGTGCATCCCGGCGGAAAATCTTCGAGAAGAAGTTTTCGAGGAATTTGGTCGAGGAGTTGGGTGCCACGCGGTCGGTCTTCAGTGGATCGGCGTTCATGAGATCGTGGTATGTATGAGCGCGGGCGGTGGAAAACAGGGATGTAGCTGGGCGAGCAGGACAAGATGATCAGTGAGACTCGATGTAACGACGCCTGGGAATAGCTGACTAATCGGTCGTTTCCAGCCTCCGGGTCGAAAACATTGATTGGACGTTGAACGGCTCAAATCCCCTCAGTCTCGGAGCCCAACCAAGCCCAGAGAGAATGCAACAAAAGTATTTTGAGGCAGGCGGAACTGTCGCCTTGCCGCGGCCAGGCTGTCACCGCGAATGGACGGATTGAACGGTTTCGATCAGAATCACAATAACACAGGAGTCAATGGAGCGGAGTCATACTAATCTGACCCCTCTTTCCGACTGCCAAAGTACAGCCTGAGCTCATGGGTTTTCTCTTCGAGCTCATAGATATCGTCGAGCTGCGCTTTTGGCATCATTGACATGGGCTGGAAAGCGAGCAGCGGTCCTACTTATCCCTTGAACGGTTGGGACGAGGCACATAAGCTCTGGTATGGAATCCAGTCCCTGGTTGAGGGGAACCTGCAAAGAGAATAGCGTTCCTGGAACGTACGAATTCGATCCCGCGATCGCCGTCGGTACGCAGACTAGCCTAGACTACTCGGCGGGAAAAGGCCCCGTCGTCGCGACTGTTATTTACAGTAGCATTCGCAGTGCGCAGACCACGTTCTGGGGCACGGGCGCAGTTTAAGCTCTGGGCATTCTGGGCTGGCAGGGACTGACGCGGGACGTGTCCCATTAGTCTGTCCTGGTGGCAGACGCCGCAGAGGCCAAGCACCATAGACGGGTCATAAAAGAGCTCTCTCCGCATCCCCTCTGCGACCTTCTCCCCCGTCTCCTCCTCCGACACATTGTGCGTCGCAGACTCGCAGCCACTTGAAGAGTCCGAAGGTAAAACAGCCGGCAAGCAGCAGCCCGAATCACGCGACCCGAAGCGGAGAATGAAGTCACGCTTTGGCAAGTCCGCGCGTCCCTCTCCTCCTTCCCTCCTCTCTTATTCGTCTCTCGTCCCTCCCTCGTCCCTCCACCCCCCACCCCCGCCATGGCTTCAGCGTCGAAGAGCATCTACGGGAACCCCGGCTCCGTCGAGCTTGGGGACAGCGCCCCCGGCATGGCCCGCATCCGCCGCCTCCGCATGACCAAGGACGCCCTCGTCACCAAGCCCATGGACGGCATCGACACCGTCGTCGACATCCTCGACTACGGCGCCCGCACCCACGGCACCAAGGACTCGTACGGCACCCGCGACATCGTCGACATTATCGAGGAGAAGAAGGAAGTGACAAAGAACGTCGGCGGCACGCCCGTGACGGAGACGAAGACGTGGAAGTACTTCCACCTCAGCGACTACAAGTACATCTCCTTCCTCCAGGTCCAGGAGGCCGCCCGCGAGGTCGCCGGCGCGCTACTCAAGCTCGGCGTGACCAAGGAGGACATCTTCAACATCTATGCTGCCACCAGGTGCGTTCATGTGCGCGTTTCTCCCTCGTATATGCGTTCTTTCCCTCTTTCTGCGGCGTCAGTCGAGGCTATGTCGGTCGAGAGCCATGGGCACGGGGCCGAGGGCTACGCGTGCAGCGTCCGTCCGGGCGACGTGTGCGTGCCGGGCTAGGGCGGCATGCGGACTGTGGGGAAGAGGCCGCGCCACAATCGCGCAGCCTTGAGCGTCATAGGCTGGGTTAGCCTACGTGCCTGCCCCGCGTTTGTCATGCCGCCGGTCTTTCCCTCCGTTGCAGTCTCCGCGCAGTGGGGCGTGCTGCCGTGCTCTCGATGGTGGGCAGCGCGAAGACCAGAGTCGCAACGAGCGCGGCGTGCAAGCATCAGGCGTCGCTCGCGTGTCTCATTTGTCCACGACGACCTGTGCCGTCCATCCTGGTTCTCCATATGCTCACGTTGATCTTGCAGCCCGAACTGGCAAGTCATATCCTTCGGCTGCAACTGCATCAGCACCGCGATCGCGACGGCGTACGACACCCTTGGCGAGTCCGGTCTGCAACACTCCCTCAATGAGCCAGGGTGCGTCGGGATGTTCACCAACGCTGAACTCCTCACCGTCGTCGCCAACGTCGCCGTCAACGTGCCCACATTGCGTCTCGTCGTCTACGACGGCACGCCCAAACAGGAGCTCGTCGACAAGATCAAGGCCGCACGCGAAAACATGCAGGTCATCTCTATCGACGAGCTTCGTGAGATGGGCAAGGGCACTACCGTCGAGACCCTCAAGGACCGTCAGCCAGCGCCCGAAGACGTGTCATGTATCATGTACACCAGCGGCACCACGGGTCCTCCGAAGGGCGTCATCATCACCCACCGCAACCTCATCGCGTCCGTCGGCGCGGTGTACACGCTCCTCAAGCAACACCTTCGCTCTGATGACACATATCTTGCCTACCTTCCCCTCTCCCACATTCTCGAGTTCGTCGTCGAGCTTACCCTCTTCTTCGTCGGCATGACTTTCGGCTATGGTCGCGTGAAGACCCTCACCGACGCGTCAGTCCGCAAGTGCGTCGGCGACATCCGCGCGCTGAAGCCCTCGATCATGATCGGGGTTCCGCAAGTATGGGAGATGATTCGCAAGGGTATCATGGCGCGCATCAGTGGGTCTGGCACGCTGCGCAAGAGCGTGTTCTCCGGCGCGTACTCGCTCAAGAAGGCGAACGTACCCGGGCTTGCCCAGGTCGCGGACATGGCTGTCTTCAACCAGATCAAGCAGGCAACCGGTGGGAAGCTCAGGCTCGCGCTGTCGGGTGGTGCCGCGCTGAGCGCCGAGACTCAAGAGTTCTTGTCGATCGCGCTTGTCACTGTCCTGCAGGGTACGTCTGTCGCGTTGTATTCTCGGCGCATTTCTCACACAGCGCGTTCACTCAGGCTACGGCATGACCGAGTCGTGCGGTATGTGTGCGATCCTCCCGCCCGAGCTGTTGCAGTACAACAACGTCGGCCTGCCCGTGCCCTCGATTGAGATTCGGCTGCTCGACGTGCCCGAGGCGGGCTACCTCTCGACGGACAAGCCAGCACGGGGCGAGGTCTGCATTCGTGGGCCGTCAGTCACGCAAGGGTACTACAAGCGCCCCGACCTGAACGAGGACGAGACGATCTTCACGAAGGACGGCTTCCTGCGCACGGGCGACGTTGGCCAGTGGAACGCGGACGGCACGCTCAGCTTGGTCGACCGCATCAAGAACCTGGTGAAGCTCCAGGGTGGTGAGGTGCGCCCGCCCGATCGATTCTTACTCTCACCCGCGCCGGGTCCGCTGACTGTCTCGCATTCGCAGTACATCGCACTCGAGCGTCTCGAGTCAATCTACAAGTCGTGCAACGTGGTGTCGAACATCTGCGTGCACGCGAACCCAGCCGCGAAGCAACCGATGGCCATCATCATCCCACACGCGGAGAACCTCCGGCACGCGCTCGAGGCCGCAAACCTGAAGGGCGTCGACGCTTCGGGCTCGCTCGCTGATCTGTGCGCGGTCCGCGCCGTCGCGGACCTCGTGCTGAAGGAGTGCAACGCGGTCGGGAAGAAGAACAGTTTCAAACCGCTCGAGCTCCTCCAGACCGTCGTCCTCACGCCCGAAGAGTGGACGCCGGAGAGCGGGCTCGTGACTGCGGCGCAGAAGGTGCAGCGGAAGAAGGTCGCGCAGGCGTTCGAGAAGGAGATCGAGGTCCGTCGCCATCTTCCCTTTCCCTTTGCGCCCGTGCGCGGTGTGCTGACGCCTGCGCGTTCTTTTTTTACACAGAAGGTGTACAGGATCGAGGACTGAGTTTGCCTCGTTGCTCTCCGTTGGCCCCGCTCGTTCGGTGCTCCTACATAGAGTTCCGTAGACCCGCGCTTCCGCTCTGCATATCGGGAGGACTGTCCTGGCTCCCCTCTGTCGTCGTTCTTGGATCTCTGTGATTGCCTCTCTTCTCCATTCGTCTCGTGGATCCGCTACCGACTCGCGCTTTTCCCTTGCTGTATGCCTGTTATACTGTACCTTTCCGCGTTGTACGACTAATATACCTCGGCGCACCGGGCTCGGTGCGTCGTGCTTGTTATGATTCCGTCGGAGTTGAATCCGTGCGATGATGCATGCCGAGGCTCATTATGTAAGCGATTCCTAGCTACGTTTTCGCGCGACTTGACAATCCTTCCATCGCCCCTCTGTGTCCCGCTGGCCTAGCGACGTTACCAGATATATGTCCCGCGTTCAACACTGGTGTGGGACAGTGCCAGTTCGAGACACGATTCTAGTCGCTGATCTTCGCCCGCACACCGGATGGCCTACCCATTGACCTTCGCTTCATCACTAGAACCGCTGAGGGCGTCGCAACCTGCGTTCACGCTCCTCTTCTCCTTCAGGCAAGCCTACGACATATACCTGCCGAGACCAAACGGGGGTGGTTCTGGCACCCGCTCCCCGACGTCGTTCGCCTCCGTGTACGCGATGGACATTCACGACTTGTCCGCCTGCTCCGCGTCTTCCCCACCCTCGCGCACGTCACGGTGACCGGCGACTGACGTGCTCGTCAAGATCAGTTACAGGGAAACCCTCGCGGAACATCGGTCTTCGGCACCCCTCTGCCTCGACGCGGTTGCCTTCCGGAGCCTCCTCCGCCTGTTCCCTCCTGTTCCCCTGCATCGCCAACATTACGGCCAGGGACCGGCGACCACGACGCCTTGGTGATGCGCGCGCTTTCTCTCAAGACTTGACAAGGGCCGAGCATGGATGGACTTGAAGCCGTTCCGGGTGCTGGAGAAAACGCTGCACGCTCGGGGTGTGGTCTTGGAGCCGGACTTCATTTACGTCGCCATACCCGTGCCTCGACGGTTTGTACGTAAATTTGGAGTGGAATTTCTCTATTCGCAGGTCGATGATAAGGTGAAGGAGGCAGGTGTGTAGAGTAGCTCAGGGGCTGGATACAAATGCAGAGAGGGCGGTGAAGCTCTACGACTCGGTCAACGTATCGGGCAAGTTCCACTTAAGAAGTCGTACTCCTATGGCACCTCTGTGTATATCCCCCTCTCCACGTAGCTTCTGCCTCGTCCCCCTCTATCTCCTTGTACATCGTCTTGATCTCCACGTCCGCGACGTGCTCCGCAAGCGCAGCCGTGTGCTCCCCTCGCCACACCGTCCGGAACTCCTCCAGCTCCCTCATCCGCGGCGCCGCGACGTACGCGAGCTTGGCGACGGACACCCCGCGCTCTGCGCGCGCCCGCAGCATGTTCGAGAGCGCGTCGACGCAGAGCTCGATCCGGGGCGCTGGCGGGGTGACGATGATTCCCTTGCGCCTCAGCGCCTCGTGCTCCCATGGGCTCCGCGTCGGGGTGCAATCGCGCAGCGCGACCGCGCGCAGGGCGGGGCACAGCACGTCTTCGTCGGCGGCGGACCTCCTTCCCGGGTCGAGGGCGGTCCACAGCGGTACGAGCGGGCCGCACCCTTCGAAGCAGAGCTCCTTGAGGCGCGGGAGCTGGCCTAGGAGCGTCCGCCATTGGTGGGTGGTAAGGGTGAAGGCCGGGGAGACCTCAATGTGTGTCACGGCAGGGCAGTCGCGGACGATATCGGCGAGGTCTCGGACCACGAAGTCGCGGACTCGCGCCGCCGCTGGTGCTTGGGATCCTCGTCATCATCTCTGTCGTACCAGTCTCGGGGGGAGTCTTGACTTCGTATGAGACGTTGATCGAGTGCTGGTGCCCCGGACTACTGCCCCAGATCTGGCAGCGGAACTCTTGGAAGACGAGGGCGATATCCGTGAGCGACGAAAGCATCGGGAGGACATTGGTGCCGCGCAGGGAAGGAAGGATGTCCGCGATGCGGGTCGGATGACCGCCGACGTCCTGGCGGCCATGGGCGTCGACACTGGCGAGGTAATGGATGTCGACGTTGGTCGCGCGAGGGATGAAAAGGTAGGAAAATAGTGTGGTGAGCTCGAACGGGGTACTGTCGCATATCTTGAAATGCGTGAGCGACGGCAGAGTGACGGGGCTTGGATGATCCCAGGAAAGAGCGTCTGGGCTGACGTGGAGGCTGCCGAACTCGAGAGATCGGAGGTGCGTCATTGCGCGGAGGGTGTTCATGAAGTCCGTAAAGGAATCAACCATTCCGGGGCGGGAAAGCGAAAGCACCCGAAGGTGCTCAAAGAAAGATGGATCAGCGAGGTGATTGAGCTCAGTCAAGTGCAGTGTCTCGAGGGATGGGATGTTCGTCCTGTTCAGAACAAGGCGCTTCACTGGCGCAGCCTCTCTGGAGACCTGTTTCCAACAGGCGTCCTCAGCCCCCTCCACGCTCAACTTCTTCAAAGAAGGGAATGTGTCGGAGGAGAGAAACGTATTGAGAGCGTGCAGGTGCCATCTGAATAGGTATGTCAATGTCAACGACTGTATGTTGGAAGCGTGGTGGAGGAAGGTTGTGAAATCCAGGTGAGGGATGTGGTCGAAGTTGATATGGATATGGAGGGAAGCACCATGAGCTTTGTCGAGAGACAACTGGAGCCACTGCTTCTCGCCGTTATCTCCTCGGAGGTGGATCGTGCTCCAGAACGACTTTGTGTTCAAGATGGCATCCCGCCACGCTTTGGATACGAGCAGAAGACAAAGCCTCTTGGCAGGAGATTCAAAATGAACCAGGTAATGAATGATCTCAGTGAAGACTTCTACGGGACAGCGTTCGATAGGAAGCATGTCGAACCCCATCTGATAACAACCTGAGGTCATGAGACAAACACGGGAGAACAGGGAAAACGCACAGCACAATCTCGGTGAATGCAGGAAATGACGCTTGTGGTCTCTTTAAATGTACTATGTAGATGCAATTGCGAGGGGGAAAGAGCGAAAGTCCAATGTCGTGCTGGCAACTCCCACATTGCTAAACGCGGGTAATTCCGACCGTGGGCGATCTGCGAAGCGCCGGTCGATCGCGAGATGTTCGTGTTCTGTCGTAAAATCTCGAGTGGATCATCCAGACTCGACGTGACAGTTATAGATCAACATTTATCTTAGCGTGATAGAGATAGACTACCTTAGATCTCTAGTGGAGCGAATGATCATGTGTTCTCCATTGACCGACCTTTGAATGATCACTGGTAGATCACTGATAGATCGAAGAGGCCGGGGCGAAGAGGACGAGGAGGACCACGTGATGTCATCCACGGCCGCGGCCGTCGACCCAGACTCCTCGGTGCACAACTTCAGCTTTGACTCGACACATACTACACCATGGCCTCACCCGACTCACTGATCGACGGACACTACTTGTCGCGCTGGCTACAAAGATGCAAGGATTCTGGGAAGGTTTTGCGTCCCTGCGAGCTGCTCGCCGACGCTCTGCTGGACTTTGCCACCACCTGCACCGATGAAGCAAGGACCTGCACAACGGAGGCCTCATCAACGCCCGAGGCCGTCGCCGATCACCGAGAACACATCAGTCACCGCTTCTCCATGCTCATGAAAGCCTTCGATGTTACCAACTGTGAAGATGCAACAATCCCTTCTCACCAGAGGCCCGACTCTCCTACCTCTCAGTCAGACGATGAAGCCCCTCTAGGCTTCTCTCAACAGGACTCCCCTGGTCTAGTGGAGACTTCCCCGACGAGGAGATATGATCTGGGTGCGTCAGGCGCCAACATCGAACCACTGTCTGCACTTTCGCCGTCCCCATCCCTCGACACACTTCCAACACTGTATCCCCCCTCCTCTCCTCTGGATATGTCATGCGCCATGGCACGTCCGTCAACAGCGTCGTGGGAGACCTTCGCGTCTGACGTCTCCCCGACTATCTGGCGTTCTGTTTCATCTTGCCCGGCTCTCTCTTGCCTGGCCCTCTCTCGCCCGGCCCTCTCTCGCCCGGCCCTCTCTCGCCCAGTTCTCTCTCGCCCGGCTCTTCCTCGCCTGGCTACCCCTCGCCCGGCTCTTCCTCGTCTGGCTACCCCTCGCCCGGCTCTTCCTCACCCAGCTCTCCCTCGCCCGGCTCTCTCTCCCCCTGCCATCCAATCGTCTGGCAGCCCACCTACAGCGCACACAGATCCCCCACAGGGTGCTGCCTCGCCTCAGGGCCGTCCTGTAGTCTGGCCCAGCGGTGGTACTCGCAAGTGGGCTCTCTCAAAGGCCTGTGACATCGCGTTTGCAGACGCTTCCACCAGCGACAACAACAGATGGATTGACCCCAATGATTTCGATCTTGGTAGGCCTTTCAAGTGGGCAAACTCTCCGGATAGTCGCTTGGTCTTTCTCCCATCCGAGGCGAGCACGAGTTCTTCTGGGCAGGAGGGATATCCGGACGACACAAATGCTACACAGGTATGGCATTATCATCATTTCGTTCAAGCCGGTTGACATGAGCGCGTTTATACAGGGGGAGCAGTCCAGCAAATGTCCTCGTTGGGAGCTAGACTAAAGGGGGAGCATGACAGTAAATATTGGACTGTGGCTCAGTGTAATGACTGTGATTCCGACGAAGTACTATTTTCAGCCAGTGGGCAATTGCGTGGGTTGTATATAATAGAATTGTGATTACAGAGGACGGTCTGTTTAAACTTCGCTGGGCTCTTCTCTTCGAGGTTCACACATGACGCTCTGTGCCTGCAGGCTGCAGCTTCCCGTTCACCTTCCCCTCCTCCACAGACTGGAGCATGTCCACCTTGTCCTCGACCTCGCCCACCATGGTGCAAAACACGCTCGTGTCCATGTCCCAATGCTCAGACACGCCCGCGTCTGTCTCCCAATGCTCGAACGTGTGGCGCGCCCGCATCCATCCACCTGCGCTTGAACGCGCCCGTGTTTGTCTCTCCGTGCTTGAACTTGCCTGCGGGGCCGTTCCGGTCACTGGTACACATCCATGTGCGCTGCAAGCACGGCTGCCGCGGCGCGGCACCACTCTGGGAGGAGGTGTATGCCACTGGGATGGTGTTGTCATTGAGCGCGATAGACGACGTATACACGACTTGACGTACTAGTGCGAGTCCACGTGTGCACAAGTATGCGGTGACCAGTCACCAATGTCGTGCCACGCAGTGAATGCGTCACGCGCACGCGCCGCAGGAGTGAGTTGCAGGAGATTCCTACATGTTGGCCTGGATGCGAGGAGATGGCGGAGTGTGGGTGTGCTACCAGCGAGCGTATCCGAGCACCCCATGTTCATCCTCTGGCTCAGAGTCGGGGTCTTCGTCGTTGTCGAGTTCCTCGGGGCCTTCCCTATCGTCGTCTTCCTCGGGGTCCTGGGCATTGTCAATCCAGCAATCATCATCGTCCTCGATCTCCAACTCTCCTGCATGCGTGTCTTCAAGTGCTTCGAGATCATTGACATCAGTGAGCCGACGCGACGACACGTCCAGACTGATGGTCTCGCTTCCTGGCTGCTGTGAGGTGTGATCCAGAGTGATAGGTGCGTCCTCCGTGCCATCTTGAGTCCGAACGAGATGTGTAGGGGCAGCTGGGGTTCTTTCGTACACGACGTCGTCCTCCGGGTGCTTGATATCGTTCCACTTGTGGCTTCCCAGTGCAGAGGTTGTACTCGCTGTTTTCTCAAAGCATGTTCGCGTGAGTCTTCGGCATGAATCCCTTCAGATCCATGCCCTACACCACCACCAAGATGGCGCATATATATGTCTCGATCCGCAAACCTATTCATGCAGAGGTTAGCAATGAGGGTATGTGCCGGATGGATTCAAACTCACATCATAACATAGTATAATCGGTAGATTGACTGATCGGAACCGGCACAAGCGAAGGACTTCTCTGGTAGACTGTCCACGAGCCGGCCATGATCAAAGGCGGGTACAATGTATGCGGCACGAAGCACATCGTCAGGGTCGACGAAGCCAAAAGCAGTCTGCGGATGTTGGCAGTGGTCGACAAACTTGAGGCGATATTGGCGACGAGACGGGATTCCAGCAGGTTAGGTCTCGTCGAGCTCGTACCACCGGACCCAGAGGATGTAGAAGCGTTGTGGAGCCTGGTGTGAGAAGGTTGCTCCAGGGCCGTTGTACCGGGTGTGTAGGTGGTAGATCCCGATGATGCGAGCATACATGTATGGGTGGGAGGAGCCTTTGGGGGCGAGCATCATGATGTCAGAGTGCGTACGTATGTTGATTCTGTCCAGCTCGCGCCGAACAGCGTAGTTGGTGTAGTTGAAACGGGCCGTGTTGTGAGAGAACATCCGCTCGTCGGTGATCTTGACTCCCAGGTGCTCGGCATCCGTGAATGTCCGAAGCCCGTTGTCGTCGAGGATGTCTTCTCGCTCTCCGAGTATGCGTGTCAGAAGATGTTCCTGGAGCTCCGGATAAAGCCCCTGGTTATTTCACGGTTAGTGCGACGGAACAATGAGTGCGAGCACTGGAAATGAACGTGCCTTCACAGCTGGGTCGTCGAAGTTGTCGTGGATCCATCTGAGTATCCGAAGTCCGTTCTTCGAGGACTTGGGGATCTCGTAGCGTTCGTAAGGGTCTCCCAGAGGGGTGTCGTCAGCAGTTGAATTGGGAGCATTTCGGCGAGGTTCTTTGTCAGGGTTGCGATCGTGGATCCGGAGCATGTGCTCTCGCTGCCGAACTAGTCGCGCAATCTGGAATACATGTTCATGTCGATTGGTGCGATTGTATAGAACCTTGACCGTCTTGTGCTCGCATTCTCCCTACAAGGCAGAGGAGACATAATCAGCCTAGGTTAGACGCATTGGAGACAGAATGACATACAGTTTCAGTGGAAACAATATCCAACGGACCTCGACAACGGATATATGAAACCCAATGACCAATCGCGTGATACTTGTAGGTCTGCATCACCCTGTACTTCTTCGCCTTGCGATGGATATCAGGTCAGGCATCCTTGAGCTTCTTCACCTTCGCATTCATCAGCTTTTTCGCCTTCGCATTCGTCAGGTTCTTCGTGTTCACCCGGCGGATGCGTGACCGCCTCTCGTGCTCCTGTTCAACAGTTTCATACTCTGTTGCAACGAAGGCGTCAAAGCGACGAATACTGTCATACATGGACGTTGTCGCGTGCTCCATGATTTCGAGGGTGATGTCTGTGTGCATTCTGAGCTTCCCAAGGGCGTGGAAGTTAGCAAGCTCGAAGAGCATGTCTTGGACGATTTCTCCATGCTCGAGAGGGAGGAGACCCTCCATCGCAGGCATCATAGTCTAATATGACATCGATGTGAGCGACCATGAGGACCACTCATTGACATGACCACTTACAATGAGAAATTTCTCATAGTCTCGTGCAGCAAGACCCTTACGCGAGGAGACATTTCGCAAGAATTTCCGTATACGCCCGTTACCAAAAGTAGGCATTTTTCGCATTCTAGTGATGTGATTAGCAGTGTGTTGGGTATGCGCAAGACCAATAGTTCAGGTGCGCACGAGACTGACACGCAGGGTGCACAGAGACTGAAACAGCCCAGGGCGCACACGAGAGAGACCATGCCCCACATCGCGCGAGGCAACCACAGGACCACACAGCGAGCTTCTCGCACGCGCACAGCGGCGGTATGCGGAGCACAGGCGAGGCCAACACATGCGGTCCGCAAGGAGCCAACGCGCACGGTCCGCAACGGGCCAACGTGCGGGGTCACGGGTGTGCCACATGAGACCACCATGCGGGGTGCACACAAGACCAATGCACGGAGTGAGGGCTGTCGCCCGAAGCAAACACAGGAGTGTCGCACACGCATTCTCATCAACCTAGGACAAGAGGATGGACGTACCGAGTGTTGAATTCCTGGACAGTGGGGTTTCCAAGGCAGTCGAGCATTCACATCAGATGATGAAAGGTTGCCTTCCACACTCCAAGCTCAAACTCGTGCATGATATCTGGGGCGAAGAGGTCGTAGGCATTGAACCCATGTGGTGCGAGTCGCGTAGAGAAAGCACTCTAAAAGAAAGGGCCAATCAGTACACTGACAGAAATAATAGATCGCCGAGAGCCGCACTCGGATGGGGTTGAGTGACTGTGGTTGAAGTAGGTCTTGGATCTTGTCACCGATAATGGAATAGCCTTTGAAAAGCGCCTTCCGGGCAGCTTCAACGACTTCGTGAAGATCACTGTCATCCTTGCGGGCTAGCTCGGCACGGCGCACCATATCCTCTGGTGTTCCGGCGTCAGGACACTGATCCATTGTCGTAAGGCAAGTCGGACACGGATGCTTTGAGAGGGGCTTGAGACCGGTTGCAAGAATCCTAAGGTCGGTTGAGAATATCAGTGGATCTGTACATGAGATTGTAGCAGCTAACTTACTTCTCAGGGTAATCCGCCGAGTATGCAAAAAACGCGGAAACATCCGTTGTGTGATGCCATCGGTACATTGGTACACAACACCCTTCTCGTATGCTTCCATGAACTCTGTGTTCATTAACCATAGCCAGATCTGCTGAAAAAGATCGCGTTTGAGGTAGCGCATGATCTCCTCCGTCGGAGGCTTCCCGAAGATGTCCGCATAAGCCTCCTCAATTGTGTCCGGGAGCTGAAAATGTGTTTCAAAGCTATCAGCATGCGAAACATTGGTAGAAAGATGCTCAGGCCCTGAGACAGGATGCCATGCATCCCGTGAGCGCATGCATGTAGCAAGCACCACTCGTACGAGCAGTGCTACGCAAGCACAACTCACCCGAGCTCGGGCTCACGCCGCATCACGTGTGATCGAGGTGTAGCAAGCGTGTCTCGCACCGCGCAAGCACCACTGGTCCGAGCTTGTGCTTGCACCACGCCACACGTGCATCACAAGCTCAGGTGAGCACAACAACTTGCACGTGTTGTGCGGCGCAAGCACAACTCGTCCGAGCTTGTGCTTGCACCACACCGCACGTGTGTCACGAGCTCGGGTGAGCACAAGATACCCTCCGCTTGTTACGACAATCTGCAGTGTCAAATAGGATGCAGTACGTACTGAGGGTATGTATGCAATATGATGCGCAGCAAATTCCGTGGGTCGGCCTCGGGTGTACTTGCACAGATGGGCGAAGTAGAGATACACCGGCCACATCTTGGCGTCGCCAAAATCGGACAGATGAGTAGCATCTGACCATAAGATCATTGGAATAATGCCATACTCCAGGTCTGCAGGATCTAGAGGGTCTCGAGGGAGCTGTCGTATATTCTCCTCCTCCGCCAGAAACGCAGGAGAGTTGGATGCGTCGGTGTAGATCCGGAGTGGAGTCGGTGGTACAGGTGCAGCCGCAGGAGTGGGAGAACTTGGGGAGTGGTGTGGTAAGGAATGTGGAGCTGTAAGAACATGTAAGCGACATATGCTAGGGTGACAATTCGACAAGACATACAAATATCTTCTCCGATAGGAGACGCAAGACCACCGCTTGCAGGTGACGGAGGCGAAGACTGTGACACATGTGTTGCACTACGTGACTGTCCTTGCGGTGTCCAGAAAAGCGCATGTGGGTAGTACTGGTACTGGTCGGCGTGTCGGCTCTCCGTGTCGGTGAGAACGTTGTGGATGATTGGCATGATATCCCGGACGACACCGCCGTGGATCGGTACTTGAGGGGCAGTTGCTTCAGATTGCTGTCTGCTCGAGCTGGTCTTCAGTAAGGATAGGATGAATGGGTCCTTGTCCCAGTCAGTACTCGAGAACGGGTTCGCAGATGGGGGAGGCTGGTCGAGGAGTTCCTTCGACACACGCGCATTGAAGTCGTCCTCTTTGATATCCCAGCCTTCCGCCTGTGACTCGGACCAGATGTCGAGTAACACATTGAAGCTGGTGTCGGAGACCGTGCCAGAATTGGTGACGGATTGCCTCCAATGTGTCGTCTTGGCCTGCGCGGGATTGGCGAAGGGTGCATACCAATTGTGACCCGCCTTTGAGTCCGTCATCCATCGAATCGTCGGCTCTTGTAGTTGATCTTCATGTGATCTAGGGGGTCGTAAGCCAGGTGAGTCACAAGTGTCTTCCAGAGTTTGACGTTCTTCAGGTGTCTCGTGTGCGGGAAGTGTTGTACGCCCGTAGTACCGTCGAAAGATGCCAAAGGTGTCAGGCGCCGTATCGACGGAAGGTGCGGGTGCTGTGTGGGCTACTGAAGTTGTCGGTGGAGCAGGGACAAATGGTGAAGGTTCGGGAAGAGACTCAGGTCGAGAGGAAGAGGCTAGCGGAAAGTCGGGGAATGGATCGACTGCTACTGAGGGGAGTTCAGGATCCCGGGAGGAGCCAGAGGGGACATAGTCCTGAAAACGACGAGGTTGTTTTGTGCGTCGTCCAACTCGTGTTCCCAGCTCTCCTGGGCGAAGGGGAGTCGTCTTGATATTGCCTGTTCGAAGCTGCAACTGATTAGCCTCATCAAGTTGAGAACACAGGTGCTACCTGTACGTACCTGTTCGTGAAGATCAAGCCTTGCTCCGTTCTCCACCACTCTACACTTCTTTCGCGCTTCCAAGGTATCCAGTTCAGCTGCCCGCTTCTTGACCAGCTCCGCTGAAGAGATGGGTTTCTGCTGACAGCGTCGGAGATGCTGGGAAAGCTGGCGATCGTTGGCGAAGACTCTCCCACAGTTCCTGTTCGTGCAGGTGAAGTTCATGGTGCTGATTTTAGGGTGCTGACATTGTCCGGGAGGTGGAAGAGGTAGAAGGCGGCACTGCAGGACCGTGTCGCGTCTGCTGCACGGGCGGACTCGCACATAGTACGCGTGACCGCGTCCAAAGGGCGCCTGTGGGGTCTCTTTATTGCTCTCAAGTCAATCCCCACTATTAAACCCTTCTACACCCTTCCGTTGACTATCCATTGGCCCCATACGGTGCGTGACAGCCAAGAATTGGTGCCCTGTAAACCCTAATCCATGTACTATACAGGACCAAGCTCCACGCCAATCACGACCTTCCCGTCTCCTCCGTGAGCAATCTTTCAGTCCTCACACCCAGTATCCCTCTCAACCTCACGTTGTCCTCAATGTCTGGCAGACGCAGCCGACCAGCCAAGCGTGGTGCTGATACAGCTTCCACTGCTCCACCCCCAAAACGCACCAATACGGCGGCCTCGGCGACCCCAGGCCACCCAAACATCCCCAGTCGTCAGTCGATTCCCATCCCCCAAGCCGGTAGGTACGATACACCTGCTGGAAATAGCCCTACCCCGGAGCCACCTGCTCAACAGCAGTCGTCTACGCAGGTGTGTGCAACTCTCAACTGTTTTTAGCGCATATATTGAGGTATGGGGCGGTTCATGCGCCAGGAGCTAACGCCTCAAATTGATGACATCAGGAAAAACACAATTTGCATATTAGCCCTACTTTGCTCTAACACATCTATTCAGCAGACTTTTGGCTCTAATGTGGTCTAACACAACTAATCACCTGACTTTTAGACCACATGAGAACGAGCACATCTAACAGCAAACACATTAGGCCTCACATCTTACTAATGTGTCCTAATGTGTCTAATGTGTCGCATATTTACACCCATTAGGAGATGTTGAGGGTGTGTGATACTAGCACTCTAACTTCTGCAATCTGATACTAAACAGTTTCTATCGGGCACAGCAATTGCAACCAGGTGAGAAGCTTGACATCACTCAGCAGATTGATTCACATATAGATGTGCGGGAAGGACGAAATATATGGGTAACTAACACAATCTAACTACAGCTATGCGGGCGACGCGAGACAGCAGGGTGAGGGTGACACAGGCGAGGTGACGACACAGATGAGCGGGCGGGCGACAGGCGGATAAGGTGGCTGGTGTAGATGTCGGCGAGGTCGGCGACACGGTAACATGGATGATGGGTGCGGGAACGACGCGGATGTGGGCGGGCGATATGGGCAACTCGGACATGGACGACGCAGAAGTGGGCAATGTTAACGCAGGCGAGGTGGGTGACGCGGGAGAAGTGGGCGGCATGGGTGGGTGAGGCAGACAACGTAGATGAGGGCGAGGTGGGCTACGCCGTGGCATGGGCGAGATCGGCGACGCGAACGTCGACGTGGGGATGACGTGGACGCAGACGGGCGATGCCACTTGGACGATGTGGACGTAGGCGATGTTGACGCAGGTGTGGGTGACACGGGCGCGAGGAAGGAGATACAGGGGAAGTGTACAACTCGGACGCGGGCGACGTGGGCGGCACGGACACGCGCGACGCGACACGGGCGAGGGTGACGTGGGTGGGTGAAGTGGAGCCAGAAGACGTACGTAGTTCTTTGCCATGGCGGACGCGCCAAAGCTGTATGGGCAGGTGTGCGATAACGGGTTCGCGGGGTGGAGCTGGGGCCTACGAACTCGGCCGCAAACTCCTCCGTCGTGTCGAGCATGCCTGCGGGGTGATCCAGGCGGAGTGGCGCGGCGAGCGTTGCGGTCGAGCTCGCGCAAGTGGAGGGCGACGTGGAAGTGGGAGAGGAAGGCTTCAAACCCGCCTCATCGACCAGGACGAGCGCGTGCCACGCCGCCGCGAGGTCGAAGACGGTATTGAGCGTCGCCACGGACGTGCCGAGGCCCCTCCACCGACGCCGTATAGCGGCCCGTGAACGTGCTCGGACATCGCCTCTGCCAAGAGTGTCTTGCCCACTCCAGGAGGGCCGAAAAGGTGGAACATGAGGCCGCAGCCCTCGACGAAGGAATGAGCACAGGCAAAGGAGGAAAGCGGACAAAAGGGAAACGTACCGCGAAGGAGCCAGAGCTGTTACAGGCGACGGTCCAGCCCCGTCACGACCACGGGCGAGGGGGAAACCGTGGGCTGCAGCACAGAGAGGGCGCAGATGGTGTGTGCACGGCATTGCAGCGTGCGCAGACAGCGGGTGTGCGATATCGATGGCACGGCTGGGGCCTGGGGAGATGGTGGGCGAGACGGGGAGCGCAGGAGAGCAGAACGGGGGACTTACCAAAACAAAGGGGGCCGCAACACCTCATTGAGGAAGCGGCGCGTGAGGGGCGCGTTCGCGTGGTCCTCGGAGATGTTGCGCAAGGAGAAGAGTCAGGAAGATGGGCAGCGTGGACTCGTCAGAGCGACGTGCTGGCAGCGCCGTACGCGTGGGAATCGACACCCGTTGCGTGGACTCCGGCACTTGGCACTGCCAGCAACCTCCTCGATGCTCGTCGTCACCTTGACGTTGCCCTTGATCCCCTCCGCCCGGCTCCCGTCCTTGCCGTCCCGACGCCAACCCTCGCCCCATCTTCTCCAATGCCGCCTTCCGTCTCGCCCGCCTGGCCCGTCTCACCCCCCTTGTCCGTCTTGCCTGTGTCGCCCACCTCGCTCGCGTTACCCCGGATCTCGCCCATCTTCCACCGTCTTGCGCCCACCTCGATTGCGTCACCTATCTCGCTCATGCCACCCACGTCGTCACCTCCGTGACGCCCACATATCGCCCGCGTTGCCCGCTTCTTGCCCCTCTGAGCCTACGTCTCGCACCTCGACCGCGTCCCCTGTGTTGACCGTGTCGACCGCATCCCCTGCGTCACCCACCTCGCCTGCCTCGCCCGTGTCGCTTGCCTTGCCTGTTTTGTACGTCTTGCCCACCTCGCCCGTCTTGCCCTCGCCCGCATCGCCCACACCCCGCCGTGTTGCCCCACGTCACCTGTGTCGCCCCCTCGCCCTCGCCTGCCTTCCTCACATCGCGCCTGCCGCCTCGCGCTTGCCTGCGTCAGTCTGGCCCGAGTCGTTGCCCACCTGTGGTTACCACTAATGTAATACAATCCCCCAGGAACGTGGGCACTTCATTATGCTGATACCCACCACGTTTTCATTGTAGAAAAGCCTGGTTGGGTTCTAACAATCACAAGCATGCCTATGTTGTAATAACAGGCAGATGACACAGAGTTATTACAGTGATCTTTCAGGCTGTCATAAGCAAATTCTGTAATGACAGGAGCCTCTCTGGGCTGTAATAAGTGAATTCTCTAATGACAGGGACCTCTGTGTTGTTATAAGTGAAATCTGTAATGACAGAGACCCCTCTGGGCTGTTATAAGCCTTATTCTTAATGACAGCACCCTCCCAGAGCTTGTATAAGTGACGTACTTTATAACAAAAGCCTCTCAAGCTGTAATAAGCCTCATTCTTAATCACAGCACCCTGCTAGAGCTGTAATAAGCCTTGTTAGTAATGACAGGGCGACACCTAGGCTGTTATAAGTGACGTACTTTATGACAAAAGTCTTCTAGCCTTGTAATAAGCTGATATTCTAATGACAGTACCTTCCCAGAGGTGTAATAAGCCCCATTTATAATGAAAAAGCAACCCCAGTGCTGTAACAACCCACGTAAGGTACTGTCTAGCTATTAATAGCCTTATATTGTGGCTGGCCTGGCTGGCCATTAATACCTGGCATACGGGTACTCTACCCTACCCTGCAGCCCCCAATTGGGTGAATAGTAGCTGCCTACAAGACAGTTATCAATAGTGGCGGATAGCAGCACGTTCCTGCAGCCAGAATAGGGTGCAATAGCTGGTTCCTGCACATAAACGGTAGGGGTTGCACAGCTGGGTGGGGTGGGAAAACGGCCAGGCACTATATATATATCGAAAGGAGCATCATGTAGCTTTCAAACGCATCCAAGAGCATGCCATTTGGAGCAGTATCAGCAGAGATACAGATGTACCCCTGTTTTTGCCGATAGGCACATCCACTAGAATTGGTAATTGTGGATGGATCCCCTCCGTTCTTCTTTCATAGTGTGTGGTTCTCTCTCCAATAGACGGGATTGAAGTCCGATCTGAAAAATATGCACACAATCTAGATTAGATCACTGATTACGCTTCAGCCACAGCACTTTTGATGGCTTGATATCTCTGCACCACATTCCCCGATAAGCATTTGGTTTGTTGCAGTCTCTTACATGCTCATATGCAAACACGCTCTGGGTGTCATTTAGACGTGAAACACTCTGGACATGTCCCTGCGCATCTGTGCACGTTCAACACCCCTTCATTCATAGCTCCACAACTGCAGCCCCAATCACCATGCTGTTTGCTGCAATCATTCAGCATTGTAAAGCGGAGCCGAAATCAGGTTCAAAATCTCTTATCGCACATCTGATAGTCTTGGTAAACCCATATCTCACCTTCAGTTTACCTCCTGATCTGAGGCTACTCACTGGTCTGATAGTGGTATATGTAGTTGATCTGAACTCAGATAGAACACAGCTTCAAGATGCAAAAATAATCTTGTCGATCGGCCAAGAATTGGCTGAGATGTCACATCAGGGCCTGGAATGCAATACTGAGCTGCACAGTGTGGCATAAAACTTCTTCACATAACACCCATACATGCAAGCATCCAGTGGTATACTCACCCCCAAGTGTGGCAGTTATGCTCTATTGAGTTTAGTAGTATACACAAACATGTTCCATGTGTCATTACCCCATATCAATGTCTGTGTGGGCCCAATTGCATGGTTGTGTGAAGTGGGAGGTGTAGCTGCGAAGCAAAAGTGCACCCTGTTGCTACTGCAGATGCCATATCTTCTTGAGTTCCTGACCAAATCTCATGATTGTTGATGTGTTTAATACGTGAAGTGAAGAGTAATTCAGATCGGTTATGTCCAATGTTATCAGACGATATGGTGAAGATAGGAACAGGAATTGATGGGAATAAAGATAAGAACAGATATGTTTAAAATACATCCTGATAACGATTTTGAAAATGGGAGCAGGTTAGGCGGTAGATTTTAAATATAACACAGCAAGATGCTTGGCAATCTGAGCAGTGGTTGTGGAGCTATGAATGAAGGGGTGTTGAACGTGCACAGATGCGCAGGGACATGTCCAGAGTGTTTCACGTCTAAATGACACCCAGAGCGTGTTTGCATATGAGCATGTAAGAGACTGCAACAAACCAAATGCTTATCGGGGAATGTGGTGCAGAGATATCAAGCCATCAAAAGTGCTGTGGCTGAAGCGTAATCAGTGATCTAATCTAGATTGTGTGCATATTTTTCAGATCGGACTTCAATCCCGTCTATTGGAGAGAGAACCACACACTATGAAAGAAGAACGGAGGGGATCCATCCACAATTACCAATTCTAGTGGATGTGCCTATCGGCAAAAACAGGGGTACATCTGTATCTCTGCTGATACTGCTCCAAATGGCATGCTCTTGGATGCGTTTGAAAGCTACATGATGCTCCTTTCGATATATATATAGTGCCTGGCCGTTTTCCCACCCCACCCAGCTGTGCAACCCCTACCGTTTATGTGCAGGAACCAGCTATTGCACCCTATTCTGGCTGCAGGAACGTGCTGCTATCCGCCACTATTGATAACTGTCTTGTAGGCAGCTACTATTCACCCAATTGGGGGCTGCAGGGTAGGGTAGAGTACCCGTATGCCAGGTATTAATGGCCAGCCAGGCCAGCCACAATATAAGGCTATTAATAGCTAGACAGTACCTTACGTGGGTTGTTACAGCACTGGGGTTGCTTTTTCATTATAAATGGGGCTTATTACACCTCTGGGAAGGTACTGTCATTAGAATATCAGCTTATTACAAGGCTAGAAGACTTTTGTCATAAAGTACGTCACTTATAACAGCCTAGGTGTCGCCCTGTCATTACTAACAAGGCTTATTACAGCTCTAGCAGGGTGCTGTGATTAAGAATGAGGCTTATTACAGCTTGAGAGGCTTTTGTTATAAAGTACGTCACTTATACAAGCTCTGGGAGGGTGCTGTCATTAAGAATAAGGCTTATAACAGCCCAGAGGGGTCTCTGTCATTACAGATTTCACTTATAACAACACAGAGGTCCCTGTCATTAGAGAATTCACTTATTACAGCCCAGAGAGGCTCCTGTCATTACAGAATTTGCTTATGACAGCCTGAAAGATCACTGTAATAACTCTGTGTCATCTGCCTGTTATTACAACATAGGCATGCTTGTGATTGTTAGAACCCAACCAGGCTTTTCTACAATGAAAACGTGGTGGGTATCAGCATAATGAAGTGCCCACGTTCCTGGGGGATTGTATTACATTAGTGGTAACCACAGGTGTCGTTGCCTCGTCTGTCAATCCCGCCTCTTGCTTGTTGCCCATCTCACTCGTTGCTTGTCCCGCTCTCCTCGCCCGTCCCATCCGCCTCCCCCGTCTTGCCCACGTCGCACTCCCGTCTCACGTCATCTATTTCACCCGCTTTGTCCTCGTCTCCTGCGTCTCACCCCTGCGTCGACATGTCGCCTACGTCTCGCTCCTGTGTGACTGCTTGACCCGCCTTGTCCGCCCCCATTGCCTGCGTCCACGTCGCCCTCACCTGCGCCGCATTGCGTGTGTCCGCGCCGCCCACCTCGTCCGCTTCGCCGCCCACCTCGTCTGCTTCGTCGCCCACCTCGTCCACTTCCCCTCCCCCACCTGGCGCCCGCCCCTCCCATCTTGCGCCGACCCGCCTCTCCTGTGTCCGCACCATCCATGATGCTTACCTCACCTGTTTCGCTCTTGCCTGTGTCACCCGTCTCGCCTGAGTGGATGTGTTCATTGTAGCCTACTGTGTACCTTGTAGTGTAATGAACACGAATATATTTGCTTCTCCTTCACGTTTGTGTGATCTATTGAGTGCATTAGTCACTACTCCTTGATATCTAAACATATCATGAGCTTAATACATGCCTACTGTGTGTCAATTAGTTCCACAGACCCCCACAATTGCAGCAGTTAGACACTGGTTAGACACTAATTAGAGCTAATTAGGACTAAACTTCCAGGGACTTCACTAATTAGTGAAGATCCTCTAATATGTCTAAGTTGCACTAATTAGTTCAACTTAGACCTAATTAGCAAGTTGTGTTTTTCCTGATGGAAGAGGAGGAGGGAGATATTAGTGCGTACCACTCCAACGAGTGGCTCGACAGGGTGGCTGCGCTCAATATCAAGCACGAGTGAGTCCCGTGTGCCATTAATGTGACGCCGGGCAAATACACTGAACCCGCCGATAGTGCACCTGATCGCAAGACACACGGATACAGGGACCTATATTCCGAATGTCGCTCGGTCTCTCGCATGGGAGGTCAGTACTCACCGTACAAGGATATCCTTTCCCTTGGCGTTGCGGAGTATGGGAGAGATCCGGAGATCTGGTGCGCCGTGTTACTCCCTTTTCTGTGTGAGTGAATGCTCATTGCTATGTCAGCGCGGCCACGACCAAGAAAGGAAGCACAATGTATCACTACCGGGACGTCTTCGATGTTGTGGTGGACTATATCGATGAGTTTGAAGATCACATCGAGTATTTCAAGTCCGATGCGACCAAGTTAGGATGTCTGTCCACGTTCGTGTGTATCTTCCGCATCCTGTTTACCCCGACGTGATGCTCATCCCTCTTATACTCTTCTAGATCACTCAACTTCGGGGCCGAACGCGCAGCGACGACCTCAGTCGTGTAAAGACTCATCTATCCGACTATATCCATATCCCGGTCACGCCATCAGGCAACAAAGATATCTTGGAGAGGTCTTGCCGGGGTTGGAATGATACGCACGGCTGTGCAACCCTCCTTGTTCCTATCGGAAAGGAGTATGATGAGTTTTTACTCGACCCGGCGGCGTATGTGCCTCATCCTCATCTCATCATTGCACTGAACATATCGTCTGCTTTGATCGCCTGGTAGATACTGCAAGAAGATGAATGAAGGCCGGCACAAGCTCCGCTCAGACAACTTTCCCCGCGCGTTCTACGACCTCGAGATGCTTGCTGAAGACCCCGACGTCCCTCTGGAGGACGCCCTTCATCAGTAAAAAACGACATGTCACCGGAGTGCTCTGGAGCCTCCAGAGCAGTCGGAGCACGGTGAGACAAGTACCCTTTTATGGAGCCGCGAGAGCTTGGCCGGCGCCTCCCAGGCACTCCAGAGACACAGCCGCTTGCTCGGCGAGCACTCTGGAGTAGCCCCGAGTATCTTCTCCAGAGTACTCTGGAGCTCTCCTGAGCACACCTGAGCCGAGCCATTTCTAGGGCGAACACCCGGTACTCATGTAGCACACATGTATCGAGCTCAAAAACAAATAATCATTGAGAGACGACTACAACTTATACATATTGGCTAATACAACACAGACCAAAAGGAGCGTAGACGGTACAGGCCTATGTCTCTCCCGAACAATCGAAACATACCTTGATGGGCACGATACACTGCACAATCTTCCTGCATCCCATGCCCCACTCCTACTTCTCCGGCCCACCGCGAGGCGACGATTGACCCGAGACCGCCCTGTCTTCATCCAGCTCAAGAGCGCAATACGAACGGAACGGTGGGGTAAACTGTGTGCGTAATATCAGCAAACACTCACGTAGAGTGGTGAGACAGGACGTACCAAAGGACGAGGTGACGGCCTTGGACTCGTGTGAGCCGAGGACGGCGATGCGCCCGACGAGGTTCACCTTGAAGAACGTGCTGACGGGGCTGCCAAGAAGCCACAGTTAGCACTGATCCTGAGACGAGGTGCGGGGCATGACGTGGACGGCTACGCACCTTGCCCTCCGGGTCCGCGGGTACTACCACAATGTCGCCAAATATGACCATCAAGCCCAGGCCACCGTTGGCCTCGCGAGTAGGGGCTTTTGGTACGCGATGCTTCTTGCCACTGACGATGATGCAGGCGTTCTGGCAGATGAACGAATCAAAGGTCTCCGCGGTGGACGCAGTGTACTGACCTGTGAATCGTGATGCGTTGCTGAACGATGTTCTGGAGGTTGTGGAGGATATGGTGCGTGTAGAAGGTTAGGCACGAGAGATGGGGTGCTGATGGAAGGGACAAGGGAGAGAGGGCTGCGAGGGATGGAGACGGACTGCGCGAGGTAGGGCTCTGGCGGGAGGCGACAACGTCAATGTATGGCGTACGTTACATACCGAGATGGCGTCAAGACTCAACACGACGCGGGTGCTGACGCGTCTTTCTGTTCATAGCGGGGAGGGTAAGCCATCGTCCTTCCGTGTCCTGTTCTTAAGGAGTTTGGTTAGCAGGCAGGGTGCGCGAGCCCTCGTTGCACTTACATGACAACATCGGGAGGAGAGACGGGCAGAGACAGCGAGGAGGAAAGAATTGAAGACGACCGAGAGCCGCGCTGCTGGCAGTGGGCGGTGCCTCCCAGAGGTCTGTGCGTGGGAACAACCTTCCACAACCTGTTCTGGCGGACTTGTGTTCAAGCACTCAAGTCCCTGACCGTTTGATTCTCTTCCCTATATATGTAAGTACTGGCTGCGAAACTCGCCAACATTTTATTGGTCTCCAGTGGCAGCAACCCAGTTTTGTTGCCCCGTTGGCCACTCGCAAGATGTGTGCGCTCGACTGCGTTCGTCTTTCTCACGGCTACAGCCAGGACTCGGCCTTCCCCTGCCGCCCGCGCAACCACTTCAAGTGAGTGTCGCTAAAAACCACGCAACTGGCACGTTCTGAGCGGCTGTACTAGTCACCGGTTTTATTTCTCGTTAATATAACTACCAGAAATCCCGCGTTGTATCACGCCGGTGCGGGAAAGCATACGAGAGCGTATATACGAGTTTCGTGTGCTATACTCACGCGTTACCGCTTGTATCGGAGGATGATATCGAGGACTCTCATGCCACCACTGCAGCACGAGAGACCTCGAGTGATCCTGGCCGTGGCTCTCAAGACGTCGTTAGCAGTCACTGCTACTCTGGAGAGCTCCAGAGCACGCTTGCGCTACTCGAGAGACCTCGGCATCATTAGTCATCGCGCGAGGGCGCTCAAGCGCCCTCCCGGTCATCATTGGCGGCAAGGGAGTGATGCCGAGTCCGGGCCGGGGCTCTGGCGCACGGCGCTTTTTCCTGATGTTCTGCGCGGACCTTTTATGCTTCGCGTGAGTGTACATCGGCTTCCCCCAAAGAAATCTCTCACCCATGCTCCCAAGTTCTATCGCACACTCTTCACCGGCGCGGGATCCGAGACTCCCTGTGAGGCCACACGCCGGGGCCAGAAATCGCTTGCCGCGAAGGACCATACTGTCAAGGCCACACTGCACTCCATCATCTACGCCGCATGTTTGGTAAGAGACCCGTCATTGTCCGCGGTACTACACAGCTCACCGACGCTCTAGCTGCGCTTCACGCTCAGCAGCCGGTCAGCCTGGGACGAGAAGGACTGCGGATGGGTCAACTCGGCCTTTTCTTATGCGATCGTCGGCATCGCTTCTCGCGCTCCGCACTGGAAAAGCTCCCTTCTGGAGTATTATGACTGGTACGTCGTTATATCTGGCGCGTTTCCATTCTGACCAACCTGCACGTAGTGAGGTATTCTCGCCCATATCCGACGCCAGTGAATACGTCCTCGGGACCGACCCCGACTCAGCTTACGCCAGGATCATGGCGTCGCTCGATGAGAGGTATTGAACGCCCCGCAAACCGCACCTCCTCTGAGCTCTTCTCCGCTCTGTCTCGTCTCTTTCTCGTCATCCAAGCACTCCAGCTCTGTACTCAGCCTCAACGCTCTCGTTCTTGATCCCATGCCACTGCCATCCTCGACTCTCTTGCACGTTCTCGACCATCCCTGCCATCTCTGCTGTGCCGCTCGCGGTTATCTCTGCGCTCGCTCCCGTTTCTCAGTCGGCAAGACCATCAAGACGCTTTTTATTGCCAGCTCATTATACATTATGCCTGTATTCACGACACGAATAAACCAGTATTTTATACACCTTACCGGAGCGCCTGGTCGTGTGTGTGCGGTGCTGTCATGTCACGAGCATATACCGCTACTGAGGTCGTATATCCTGTGTGACAGGATCGTCGTCCAGCACACCTCTGTTCACTGGATAGGCACGCGACGATCTCACCAAGATCATAGATGTCGTCGCGTATGACCAGACGTCAGGACCCCATCGTTCATATCTCCGATGTGCAATGCTCACCAGCGAACATTGCACACCGGACGATGACCACGCATGAACAGACTTGCAACAAAGGTTGATCTACTGAGACCATACCATGGCTCGCATATGAACCGCGCAGATCGAGGAGACGTAGCCTAATGATCCTGCTAGAACAAATGTCGTCACACCAATGTTCATGTTCGAACCTTCATCCTCTAGCCGATGTTCACGCTCGAACGTCGCTCTCGTAACCAATGACCAGTACTTGACCATGTCCCCTCGTATCGTCGATCGGATGTGATCACTGCTTGCCATTCATTTGAACACTTGATGCTCATTTCGAGCGGGGTTAAAGGTCGCGGCTGACCATTGCCCACGTGCGGACCGTTCACTGGTGATCGGGGAAGACAAATTATGAATATCCCTTTCACCACCTCATCGGGGGTGACGGGGGTCGACCGCAAAAGTGGGTAACGATCAACCTCGATCGGCCGCAGGTCATTTCCTCCCGGGTTTAGTGATGCAGCACTGCAGTTGGCGCTAAATGAGAGATAAGATAATGACTCAGCTCGAAGATCCAATCACGGACGCGCGAACGTCGCAGGTAGTAAAACTCGTTGTAGCACACGTTTTGCGCAACTTCGGCGTTAACTTTGGGACTGGAAGGCCGCAGTTCGGGCATGGTCTTTATGCTGAGCCCGAAGCTAGCAGTGCGAACGGTACCGCGATCACCCGGCGCGGCGCTCCCTCCGAAGGCCTCTGCATCAGCAAAATGGGTGCATGCACGACAGGGCTCTGTAGTACACTGTAGTATGTCAGATAGCGCTATCATTATTTGTAGTTCAGACGAGCAATGATCCGATAGTATCCATGTTTGGTAGATTAACGGCGGCGACGATCAGCATTCATCTGCATCTGTCGGACAAGACACCGTCCGATCGGGCATGGTCAGACGCCAGTGAACGTCAGATCGAATCCCGGTGTGTGTATGATCATTAGCTGGCCTGTATATGATCTAACATTATCTGCGCAGCCGCTATACTACAGTGCATTCTTGACCCGACAAAGACCTATCGAGTGCGATCAGACACAGGTGCTGACGTCCATTATAGACCATATAACGGGTCACCGGATGCCTGGTGCGGTACAATCCACCGAAATCATGCACACACTCATAGCAGGTGTGCAGCACAAACCATTGTATTGCTACTTTATATCGAGTAAGGTACATACTACACATTGAAGAGAGCGACAGGAAAACGTCGGATGTTATGCTGACAATGCGTAGTCGCCATGTCAGCGGGATTGAGACCGACTCTCTGTGTGCTCATACAGCGGCCGGCGGCGGCGTGTCCCTGACATTCTGCCCGAGGACCGGCCGGCGGAGGTTAAGGTCAAGCGCATGAAGCTGGTACGCCGCATGGGTGTGCATCGGGACGCGGGTTCTGTTCTTAGGCACTAAGAGGAGTGTGGCGAAGAAGCTGAAGAAGCTGAACACTTGGCATCAGCGTCGGGGTTTGGGATTCGGCGCGGGAGAGGGAAGACGTACTTCCAGTCTCAGTCAAATCAGCCTCAGGCGCCGAGTAGCGCGGGGACAGTGAGCGCGACATTGAAGTTGATGGTTCAAGCGGGACGCAGTGAGCGCGGGGCGGGCGGAAGAGGAGTGGGATGGTACGTACACTGAGGACCAGCGAAGTCGCTTGCGACATGCCGACGTCGCGCTGCGCTGAGCTGTGTGTGGGCAACGTGCGCGCTCAGCGGGGGCCTCGAACCTGGGGTTATTCCAGTGGACGGCGCAGACGGAGGGGCCGAAGCTGGTTAAGGGACACGGCAACCGAGGGAGCGAGGGAGCGAGGGAGGTGGACGCGTAGGGCGTGGAGGGGTGTATCGGTTGAGCGCGGGGAGATGGACGCGTTGAGTGTGGGGGAGGCGCTCACCTGAGAAGTCGTATTCCACTCCTCATGAACCGGTTTAACACCACTGGCGGTGCCGCACTTGCTGTCTGTCGAAGATTGGCGAAGCAGGGGGAAACATAACGGGGGAAACGAGGTTCGTACTGCTGCAGTGCGGGCCCCAGTGATATAAATGTTCTTGTTAAGCGGAGTTCATGTCGACCAGGATACTGTTGCCAGATGAGCTGCGCTTGAACCGGGTGGCAACGAGGATGTACATCTAGATCACCTTACCCACTGATAGCGACACCGGCCCCCATGAGCCTCTGAGAGCCTCGTCAGCAATAATATCAACTGGCCGACAAATCCAATATCATTGCAGATATGGTGAGGGAGACGATTCCATGAGACATGGAGATCCGAGAATCTGATCAGGGCACGAGTACCGTGGGACAGGAGGTCCGAGGGTGTCGCGGAGAAGAAAGGGAGCGAAGTGGGCGAACACGGAGGGGATGAGAGGAAAGCAAGCAGAGAGAAGGATAAGCACGATGGGAACTTCGGGGATGGTGGGGCGCGAGGCTTGACGGAGAGCGCGTGACACCGGCGCGTTGTGTCGGGGTCCCTCGTGAGTCGGAGATATGGCGTGTTGTGTAGCGGCACCTTGCAGGGCGATTTTCGGGGAGGCGCGACGTAGGTGCGAAGGGCGAGGGTGCAATGAGAGCCGGCGCGCGGGCGTCTGCGATGGTGGCGGGGTCGGGAGTCGAGTCCTGCGGACGCGCGCGTGGATAGAATTGGGAGACTAGTAGTACCAGCGCCCGTACCGAGGATGTTTTGACTACACTCTAGCTCCTTCTTAGCGTGAAGAAACAAGGAATGAGTCTCATCTACCATAGTACAACTGGCTCCCCAGTGCTCTCTCAAAAAATGTCTTACCAGATTATCACCGGTCGAGCAGAGCCCTACACTACGTAAGTCGATCGTGTCCGATCATTGGACCTCCGGACCGACGATGTCTGGCGTCTGCCGAGCTGACATCATCCGCTTTCGCCGGGCGCCACAGCGCTCGATCGGGCACCCCTCGTTTTGCTGATGTGGCAGTTGTCTCTCTCTCACCCGATTCATCGGACGTAGATAGGTCGCTCGGAGTTTTCAGATACAAACGGAAGAGACAACGGATACACAAATTGGTGCTAGGTACACGATGCAATATACAAGAATATCTGCCGCCGATGCCTTCGCGGCACGCGTCGATGCGCACATGACAGGCTGCGCCTAGGTGATGCGCGAGAGAGCCGCGGCGACGCTATCCAAACGTATTCGCTTATCTTTCCCCAGGGGTTGGACGAGGTATGCGCGTGAATTGACGCTAAATTGCGAGATAGGTAAGATGACAAGATGGAGTTGCGAGCGGTCCCGATGGTCGCCGCCCTATATGCATCACTGACGACCGCCAGATGTTGACAATTCCGAAAGCAAGCCTATTTAGATACATCCTCACGTAAGCCAAACGAATTTGCGGAAGAGGCAACGAAATCCTCACTGGTCAAGTAACATTTCTCAAGTGTGGACCAGTCGTACAGAACCGTAAGTCGACCTCCATGAAGCCTTCGCGTCTTCCCCGTCCACCTCCTTGTACATCGTCTTGATCGACACGTCCGCGACGTGATCCGCAAGCGCGGCTGCGTGCTCTCCCCGCCACACCGTCCGGAACTCCTCCAGCTCCTCCATCCGCGGCGCCGCGACGTACGAAAACCCGACGATAGGGACACTGCGCTCCGCTCGCGCGCACAGCATGGCCCTGAGCGCGTCGATGGAGAGATCCAACCGAGGTCGTGGCACGGCCGTGTACCCGCGATGGGCTTCCGCCTCCCACGGGCTACACAGGACGCTGCAGTCGCGGAGGGCGATGGTGCGCAGGGCGGGACACAGAGCCGCCGTGCGATCGTCGGGAGCGCCGTTGAAATTCGGATCGAGAGCGGCCCACAGCGACGCGAGCGAGCCGTGCCCCTCGAAGCAAAGCTCCGTGAGGAGTGGGAACTGGCCGAGAAGCGTGCGCCAGACGGCGGTGGTGATGTCGAGGCGCTCGGCGGAGATGTCGAGGCGCGTCGCGGTGGGGCAGTCGCGCGAGACGTCCATGAGGTCGCGGAGCTGGAACTCCGGCTCGATGCACAACATCTCGTGGAAGATGCCGGTGGTCTCGGTGTCGTACTGAATGTCTACCGAATGTTGCTGGCCTGGGCTGCTCGCTGTAAACCGGCAGTACCCGCGATCGATGGTGAAGGCAATGTCTGAAAGCAGCGGCAGGAACGGGAGCACGTTGGTGCGGGGGTGGGGAAGGACGTCTGCGATGCCTGCGCGTCGGCCAGTGTGCTCCTCGTGGCCCTGGATGTCGACCCTGCCTTCGGTGTGGTAATCGAACTTTACGTGGGTCGCGCTGGGAATATGCAAGTAGGATAAGAATATGGTGAGATCGAAGGTGTTGCTCGGGATCTCGAGATGGGTGAGCGACGACAGAGTGAAAGGATTCGGGGAAACCCGGGCGAAGACTTCTTCAGCGTCTAGGTATTCGAGACGAAGGGACTTGAGTCGCTTCATGGCGGGCAGAGCTTCCATGAATTCCATGGAGTCGTCCTCTGAAAAGGAAGGTCGAAGAGAAAGTTGCTCCAGGCGTTCGAAGAGCGAGGGCTTCGCGACGTATGCCAGATCGTACAAGTGCAGTGTCTTCAGGCGCGGGATGTTTGTCTCATTCAGAACAAGCGGCACGACTATCGGGGCCATTCCCGGTGCCGGATCCCAACCTTTCCGTGCGGAAATTTTCGTCAAGCGAGGAAATGCGCCGGAGGCAAGAAACGTGTTCAGTTCCGGTAGGTGTTTTTTCAGCAGAGAGTGGAATGTCAACGACTGTATATTGGGGGCGTGGTGGAGCACCGAGGTGAGTTCCAAGTGAGGGATATTTTCTACGTCGATATTGATATCGATGGCAGCACCTTGAGCACGTTCGAGGCACAGCTTCAGCCAATTGTCGCCGTTTTCTCCGTGGACGTGGATTGTGCTCCAGAATGACTTCGTGCTGACGATAGCATCCCGCCACCACCGACATACGAGAAGCAGAGGAAGCCACTCGGTCGAGTAATCGCTACTATCGTCGGTTTGAGAAGCAGGGCCGACGATGTGTTGGATGATGGCGGTGAAGATCTCGAGAGGACAGCGATCGATGGGGTGCGCGGAGAGGCAATCTCCAGCAGCGTTAAACTCCATCTGGGGGGTAGATATCAATGATCCGGAAGAGCGCGACAGTGCCAGTAAGCCCACCCACATAGCTTGCTAGTTGGGTGTAGACGTGGCTTTAAGTGAGGGCCAGGCATTCTACTGCCCGCCACGTTGAGCTGGCGCTAAATTACGAGATAAGATAACAGGGTACGTCGTCGTCCGCCCTCACTCGAAGCTTGTCTATCAACCTGACCGACCGCAACTTCCCTGCCGCCTGCTCGCGCAACGCCTCCACCAACGCCCCCACATGGAGCCGCTCAGGCAATTCGAGGAGTTTGAACTGGGTAAGTGTTCACATTGCTTACGTAAATTCCCCTCGACGAAGACGCCGGGTTATCGCGCTTGAACGACAGTCCGCCGCAGCGATAAGCAAAACGCCTTCCATCTGTCCAGCCATGGGAATGTTACGAGAACATCGACTAGTGGCTGAAAAGAAGCTCCTCGAGCGGTATGTAACCCTCTCTGCTTCGCTCCTTCTTCCCGCACGACGTCTATGGCCACCAACAACACGCTCGCCGCAAGCGAGCCTATCCTTCCGCAGGGTGCAGGATATGGCGTCGGTGGGTGCTGTAGCTTATGCTCATTTTGTGCTCTGTCTGACCGAGCGCTCAGTCGTCGGAATTGGGCTGTTCTTCAGCGCGTTCATGCTCACCCTCACCGCGATCCAAGCGCGTTACACGGGATTCTCGCCCAAAAGCGCCGAAGAGTTCAATAGCGCGTCGAGGAGTGTGAAGCCGGGGTTGATCGCGTCGGGGATTGTTTCTGCATGGACATGGGCGGCGACTTTGGTGCGTGGTTGTGGTCTGCACGTTTCAGCGCGCCTCATGTGTCCCACCTGTGCGCATATAGCTTCAATCCAGCGCGGTGGCATACAGGGACGGTATCTCAGGGCCGTGGTGGTATGGGGCGGGGGCCACTGTTCAGGTCCTACTCTTCGCTCAGGTGCGTTTTCAGTCCTGCGTGTCTCAGAACCCGCGTCTGAGGAGGATATATGCGCACATAGCTGGCAGCCAAGTTGAAACTAAACGCTCCCCATGCGCACACATGGCTCGAAATCGTCGCCGCTCGATGGGGCACTGTTGCACACCTCATATTCATGTTCTTCGGCCTCGCCACCAACATCCTGGTATCATCCATGCTCATCCTGGGCGGATCCGCAACTGTCACTTCGTTGACTGGGATGAACACTGTCGCGGTACGCTGGTGGTCCGAACCATATGGACGCGAAGCACTGATCCATGCGCAGGCCTGTTTTTTGATCCCCTTGGGTGTTGCGGTCTACGTGGTCGTTGGAGGCATGCGCGCCACGCTGTTGTGCGACTAGTGCGTCCACCCGTAATGATCTTTATCTGAACCTTGTCGCTGATTTTGGTGACAGCACTCACACGACAGTACTGTTCGCTATCATCTTCGTCTTTGTGTTCACAGTCTATACTACAAGCGAGAAGATCGGTTCTTTCAGCGCCATGCACGCTCTCCTCTCGAAAGCGGCCGCTGACCAACCTGTCGCCGGGAACGCGCAGGGCTCGTATCTCACTATGCGTTCCAAAAACGGTCTCATCTTCGGCGTCATCAACGTCATCGGCAACTTTGCTACCGTCTTCCAGGACCAAGCTGTGAGTGTCGGTTCCTTCTCGAGCTGCGTCCGACGTTCTGATATTGAGCCGCAGTATTGGCAACGAGCCATCGCCTCCTACCCGGCAACATGCGTCAAGGCTTACCTTCTGGGTGGTCTGGCATGGTTCGCCATTCCGTTCATGTTCTCCACGACCCTCGGTCTTGCTGCCGTCGCGCTGCGTGGCGATCCGGACATGCGCATTCTCACCCCTGAAGACGTGTCCGCCGGACTACCTGCGTCTGCGGCGGCGGCGGCGCTCATGGGGCAGTCTGGGGCGGCGGCGCTGTTGGTGGTACTGTTTTTGGCGGTCACAAGCGCGACATCGGCCGAGCTCATCGCCGTCTCGTCGCTGTTGACGTACGACGTGTACAAAGTACGCTTCTCGACGGTCGAAGTGTTGAAGTCTTGCTCATGTTGTTGCAGAAATACTTCAACCCCAATGCGTCTGAAGCACAGATTTTGAAGGTGTCACACGCAATGGCGAGTGCGCCGATGATCTCGTACTTGGTCCCGGCTAATTTCTATCACAGGTTGCTGTTTTCGCGATCGTGATGGGCTTGCTAGGTACCATCTTCTTCTACATCGGAATATCCCTAGGATGGCTCTATGTAAGCACCTGTTCCTTCGTCTTCGGACATGAGTTCTGACGTGCATCCACCATCAGGAATTTATGGGGGTCGCGCTTGGATCTGCCGTGGTCCCCATTGCCATGTGCGTCACTTGGAGCAAAGCCAACAAGTGGGGCAGCATCGCGGGTGCCGTCCTTGGCTTCTGCGCCGGGGTAGTCGCTTGGCTCGTTACCACTTCGGGTCTCAACGGAGGCGTTCTGACCGTCGATGTCCGTCTTCACTATTTTGCTGTACGCCCATTGCTCATCTTGCGCTGTTATAGACCACTGGTGGCGATTTGGAGATGCTCGCGGGTAATCTCGTGTCTATCGGGATCGGGGGTATCGTGACGGTTACGACGTCTCTCATAGTAAGTAATCCGACGGTCGAACGCTACAACGACTCATTGCGTTGCCAGTGGCCCGAAAACTTTGACTTTGAGGCTACTCGCGCTATCAACCGGCCGTCCGCGGTCCGTCCGCCCTCGATTGACACCGAGGACGAAAAAGGGGAAAAGCGCGATCATACCGCCGAAGCATCCGTCGAGCCTGCCCCCGTCTCCGTCTCCCCAGCAGACGAGTCCGAGCTCGACCCTGTAGCCCTGCGCAAGTCGTTCCGCTTCGCCGCGTGGTCTTCCGTCGTCCTGGTACGCTCCTCTGCGCTCTTTTTAGGCCCTCGCTCACGCCTGCGCAGACGCTGGTGATGCTCATCATCATCCCGCTTCCGCTGTTCTTTGCGCAGACCGTCTACGGAGTGCGTGGGCTCACTGCGTGGGTCGTGATCGGCATGATCTGGGCGTTCTGCTCGGCGCTCGCCGTGGTTGTCTACCCGCTGTACGAGAGCCGCGCCGCGCTCCGGGTGATCGCGCGGGGGATTGTTAAGGTGCGTTCGTGGGCGACGAATTTTTGGGACGTCGGAATGCTGACGGGCGGCTGAATGGTAGGACGTGTTTATGAGGGGAAATGGGAAGCATGGGGGTGCGGGGAGGGTCGCTGCCTAAAGATACACATAGGGCGGGCTGCTAGCTGTGTACATATGTAGAATGTGAGTCTTGCCGATACAGAGGGTGGTCCCTACGCGGGTGTGGCTGGCAAATCACTGACTCATCCGTTATCGGATGATCAGGCGCTCTCCGAGCACCCTTCCCTCATAGGTCACCTCCGGCAGAGGGGGAGACTGAATCGCACGCACACACACACACACTCTCATACCCTCCGCTAGTGCAGCTGAAAGATTCTTTCGTGAGGTTGGTGTGGGTCTGTTGTTCTACCGTTTTTCTCACCCAATATCGCTTGGCAGATGGAGCTCAACGTCGAGAACGAACCTATCTCTGATCTGCGTGCCATGGACCGCTGTCCCATCGAAATCTTTACCGAGATCTTCCAATGCGTTATCCGTCTTTCGGACCCACCGGACCCCTACCATAAACCGTCCACCGAATGGCTGCGTCTCCTGCTCGTGTCCAGAGCATGGCGGGACACCATCCTCAAAACGAAGTCGCTCTGGAGCACGATCCAGGTGCATGGAGAAAACGGCGAGAGGTGGCTCAAGCTATCCCTCGGTCGTGCCCGCGGCGCTGCCATCAGCATCAGCATCGACTTCGAGAACATCCCACATCTGGACCTGACACCCCTTCTCGAACACGCTTCCGACATCCGGTCGGTCAGATTGGATTACCTTCCCAGGGGACGCCTGCCGGACCTAAATACGTTTCTTTCTTCGGGTTTATTTTCCAGTTTGAAGAGCATTCGGTTGTGGGTAGATCGGGGAACGTATGCGGATCAGGAACCGGGGGAGGCTCCGCACCTCCTTCTTAGCAAGGCAAATGTCCCCTTCCTCGAGGCACTGCGGGTGGACATCAAATACATCGCGGATCCACGCTTCTTTGAATATATGGAAACGCTCACGCTTCTGCTCTCCTGGAGGATTGATTTCTTGCCGGAATTCATGAGCGCGCTGTGCACGATGAAGCGATTGAGGTCTCTCGACCTCTCATGCTTTAGCTCCAACGCTTTCCCCCATAGCCCCGTCACCCTGCCGTCGCTCACACAGCTCAAGATCTCACCAGGCAGCATCTCGTCACTCACCAGGTTTCTATCCTATCTACACCTTCCCCGTGCGACGGATGTAAGGCTCCACTACATCACGGATGGTAGGGTCGACGCCCAAGGCCGCGAGGAGCTCACCGGCAGCCCTGCAGGCATCGGAGACATCCTCCCTCGGCGCCGCACCGACGTGCTCCCGTTCCTACCACTTCTCACAGATCTCGCTCTTACTATACGAAGCCACAAATGCGAGTTTGCGGCAAGCAGTCCAGGAAAAACGCACGCGGTAGAGATCGGTTACGACACAGAGACCCCCGGCATGCGCGCGATCTACGGCGTGACCGTCGACCCCCTCTTCCAGCTCCGCGACCTCACGGACGTCGCGTCCGACTGCCCGGCCACAACTAGCCTCACCATCCACGCCGAGTGCGTCGTCCTCACCGCCGACCATTGGCGCGCGCTCCTGGGCGCGCTCCCTCTCCTCGTCGAGCTCCGCGTCGAAGCGCGCGGCTCGCTCGCGCCGCTGTGGGCCGTGCTCGACCCCGGCGGCTCAGTGCGCGACGCGGTGCCGTGTCCCGCCCTGCGCACCCTCTCCCTCCGCGACTACAACGGCGGGTGGAACCCGTGGCACTGGGCGGCGGGGTACTACCATAACGACCCGCCCCCGCCCCGGCTCGACATCTGCGTCGACGCGCTCGGCGCGACGCTTCGCGCGCG